ATACAGGTAATTGAACTCTTGATATTGCATTTACCAGGCAGGTGCTGTCCTGCTGAACTATATCCCTGATTAGCAACTCAAACATTGCCCTTTTTAGGTATTGAGCATATGTGAAATTTTGAATTAATTGTAGACATTGCCTATAAATCCTGGCTAATCTGCGCTTGGCTTTCAATACTGTCCCAGTCTTCCCTATTACCCAACATGATGGGCTCAGGAATCTTATTCCTTGTGCTACCCTCAGTTTCCTGCATTCTTCATTTCCAGTCTTGGCTTCATGGGTTTTGTAATGTTTTCCTGCTGAAACTATACTTTTAGTCACTGTTAGGATCCAAACCTAAAAAGAACCAAGTAACTGGAGACTCTAAGAGAATACTCCTTGTGGTCCTTATCACCAAACTGTAGCCTGAGGTTGGTCTAAGAGAGCTGTGTCTTACTTACTTACATCTCCATGAATGATAATACTGGTAAGGGTTGAGTTGGTAACACAGCTTCTTACTCAGGTATATGTGAGAAGAAGAAACAGTAAGAGAATGAAAAAAAGTATCTTCTATTCTTTAGAAAGGTAGATCATATTCATAATGTTAAATAAGAGATTCAGTGAACAATTTTATCTGAAAATAAAACAGGTCAGTGTCAACAGTAGATGAAGATCATTCTGGATTAGTACTGTAGCTGCTGTTAGAAAAATCATCAGAAAAAACTATGTACATATAAATAAGCACTAAACTGGATAGGCTAAGTCACCTGTCACTTGCAAATAGCAAAACAGCAGTTGTAATTTGCATTTCATTTTAAGTTCTCAAGGGTGCATTTGGACAATGAGCACATGTTACTAGACTTTGTGCAAATTTCATATGAGATAAGATTGTAAGAGCCAGTATAGTGAATGTTTTAAGATCTTGGATGTGAGTTCAGACTACTGGAGATATGAGTCCCAGTTTAGCATTTGTTAGCTGTGTGATTGTGAGCAATTTAGTTATCCAACCTGAGGATAAGCTTCTTATGTCAATGTAATGAATTGGAAAGCCATGGGAAACACTTTATAGAATCAAAAGCAAATCTGAAGAATAACAGTTCCTAGAAATAATTAGAGCAACTTTGCGCATCCTGATTACAGAAAAAAAAATCTCCTCAGAATGCCACCATGAAATAATGTAACTCCAGCCATCCATGTCCTTGTGTTTCTTGGAACTGCCCATGTGGCCTGTCCTGAGTATGTTGCAAGGGGCAGGAGAAGTATTTTGATAACCTATGGGGCTGTTTCTTGCTGGGAAAGAAAATGGTATTTTAAAAGAAGTGGGAGCTTAGCTTGGTAGACCCAGCACTATGGGGGCCTAAGGTAGGAGGACATCAAGTTCAACCTCAGCTTGGGCAATTTGGTGACCTAGCAAGATTCCATATCAGAAATCCTGAGGGTGAAGCTCAGTATGATGGTCTTTGATCAAATCCATCATACTTCAAAAAGAAAAATAGTGGGAATGAATTAACTGATTAGTGGATGGACAGAGGTCTACTCTGTGGGTGAGTCAAGGAGCAGAAAGATTATTTTGTATGCAAATGGGCATATATTCATATTATCATGATTTGTATCTATCTCAGGAGTCAAGTATGAATGGAATTATGATTTAAAAAAATACATCATTTTGATATGATAACTTTGACTTATTGTATATTTCAGAAGCAAATCATAATGTTATAAGCCTTTAGTCCAATGATTATTAAAACTAATCTTTGAACTTTCAAGATATCCAAGAAACAAAAATCATATTATCCAAATCTCATAGAATTTGGGCTAACTCAAAAGGTAGGGTATTAATCTTTTAGTGTTTTGTAGTGTCTATAAAGTTACATTTTTATTACAACTTTCCTGAAAAGATGACTTGTGATAATATACATGCTAGAATGATCATGAAGTTTCCATCTGCATCCTCTAGACTGAGAGCAAAGGGTTATATCTCCTGTATTTGTCACCTATGGTAATTTCAGCACAATGTTTTACATATAGTAACTACTCAATGATTAAGATTTAGGAATACCGTCTCAATCAGCTTTTATGAGTAAAAAGCAACCCTAAAATCTTGGTGGTTTGCCACATTAATATCTTACCTTTCTTGTTCACAGGTCTTAGGTCAGCTTTGGCTTTGCCAGGTTTGCTGGGCTCAGCTTGGTTTGCATCTGCTAAACTGAAGAAACAGCCAATATGAGGAACATAGCGTTATGATGGTGGCGAAAGGAGCTTAAGAGGCCAAGCTAGACCATATTGCTTTAAGGCTTTTTATTGGAAGATCTATGTGTCATAAAGCTCATATTCCATTGGCTGAATCAAGCCACATGGCCATTCTAGTATCAGTAGAGACCTATACTCTCACAGTATGAGAGGAGAAGAAAATAACTCAATATTTACAAAGGGAACTCTGTTACATACTATCCTTATCCAAGATTTGCAGGCAAAGAAATATCTGCTTCTGATACTGACTGTAGAATCATAAAGTTACCAAAATCCCTATAGACAGATAATATACTTTCTCTAAGGTGGCCAGTTGTGAAAATTTGAAACTTACTAAGTAAAAGGAGCTTTTCATTTGTCAGCACATGTTGTATGAAATCCATCTGTATCTTCCTACCACTCATCATCCTCAAAAACCACCATTTAAAAAATAGACATCATTCATATGAGCCATTTAACAAATACTTAGTATTTCGTTAATAATTAAGATATAAAAGAAGCTGTAAAATAATACATAAACACAATTGTGTTTTCTGTGAAAGTTACTGCCATCAGAAACCACTTTCAGGCTTTCACTTTCATTCATGGCTTTGTTGATTAATTGGAGGAAAATCAGACTAATGATAAAATTAGTCCTGTTTGAAAGTTGCCTGAAAATGAGAAGTAATCATACCTGATTTTAACAAAGTACCTAATGTCTCTTCTTTAAAAGCTGGGGAGATTTGGCACGAGGAGGTCATGTTTGCTGCTTGTGAGGTTAATGTCACCAAGTTAAGCTTCTTAACATTAGAGAACGATAATGATACAGAAGTTTCAATAATTTGAAAAGAGCCCTTTGCCCACTGGTTGACAGGGGGCCAGTGAAATGCAATGAAGCCCATTGGCTGCAGAATCGGGTAGTCTATCAATGTCTCAATCTTAGCAATCAGCAGGAGATTTTGGCTGTTGTCTGAGATTTATCACAGGAAAAGTAACTATAAAAAAAAGGAAATCAAATAATGTCTTCCAGAACCATTGTATGATTACTGAAATTAGAAGAGATAAAGTAGACTTGAAATAAACACTTGAAAGAATTTTGTTGCAACTCCATAATAAGGAGTCTCAAAATGGGGGTTAGGAAACGTTTCATTGCTGGTAAATACCATTTATTAATTGATATCTTTACTTCAGATTTTTTATTTAGTAATAGCAGTTACCACTTAATGAGTTTTGACATACTTAGTTAACCTCACTTTAAGATATAGCAGAGGAAAACTAGGGTTGGGGAAATAACCTGTACAAATTTACCCACCTAGCAAGTAGTAGGATCTCCATGTGAATGAGACCACCCTAATTGCAAGTATAATTTCCTTAACCACGCACCCCATCACAGGCCTGGAATTGGTCTTATTTATTTGCCTGATTTGGCATGGTTCTTGACTGATGATTGATTGACTGATTGATTTGAAGGAAGGAAAGAGGGTCTCGGTGGATTTCTGTCTATTATTTATGTATTTTTTTCTGGTTTTATACTTCATGATCTAAATATATATAGAAAAAATAGATTTTACAAATGCCCAAGGTTTAGTAGAACTGAAAACCCTTCTGGGAGAAGCAAGATAGTTCTCCTTACCCTACTGGGACCTTTCGATTCATCCTAATGATATCATTCTGATATATAGCACTTTGATTTCTACCCTGAACTCACAGATCAGAGTTCATATTTCCAGTTTATTGTCAAAATATAGCTGCTCCTTTTCATCAAACTTGGAAAAGTAATTGTAAGTTAAATCACTACTTAAATTGATTTCCACAGGTGGGCTTATTGTAAGGAAGAAAGACTAGGTAGCTGTGTAGCTAATAGGGAACCATTTCATACTTTGCAGGTATTATTTTTTTAAAAAAACTTCTAAAGCATATTGTCTTTTGCAACAATTTTCTTCATTATTTTGTGGATCACTTTCTTATCCAAAGTTGTGGATGGGCTGTCACGGAAGCGCTGGGGGCTTCATGAGCCACCTCAGATCAATATATTCTATCTGGCAGGTCTTTTATTAACTATGTTATACAATTATGCTGTAATTAAGAAATGGCTGTGATGTGAAACATTTGTTTTAGGAAAGAAAGAACTTCAGACTACACAGCAGCTTCACTGAACCCAAAATATTTAAAGTATAATTGATATGAGTGGCTATGAACTTGGTTAAATAGCAGTTATGCTTATGTTTGGAGAATACGTTCAGAGTTTTTTCTGACCATTTGTGCCATGAAGTTCTTTATTTCTGTGGTAAAATTAGCCTCACTTTTATGTTTGGCTCCACATAAAATGAGTTTTATTTTCCTTTTCTTTCAAATGGATACTTCATGTATTTGTCTGAATAAAATGAGCAAATTTTAATGCTGTTAATTTATTTCACTCATAAAAGTATAAACAAGTAAAGTAAAAGTGTCTTATAATCCTATAATCTAGATATAAACTTGTTAATCAAAAATTTTGTTTTTTTAATTTTCTCCTAAATACTTTTAAATAAAACTAGGCTTGCTATCATTCATAGTATAGCCTGTTCTTTTCATTTTATTTTCCTAAAAGTTTTTATCATTAAAACAATGTATGTTAACTTTATTTACAGTGGTTCTATAATATGCTATTGATTTTATTTTCCATAATTTACTTACTTCACCTGGTTTTGAATATTTACTTTCAGAATTTTCACTATTATGTTTTGTACTAGAAATATGATATGTACTAGAAATATGATACATCCTTACTGTTGTATATATTGAATAATAATATTTCCAGTATATGCTAATTTATTAGTGGAAGTGATAGCATGTAAATTAATATTTATTCAATTACAAGAAAGGTATTATTGAATGTTTTAAAAGTGAAATTTACTCCATTTCTTTTTAGTGAGGAAACTGAGCATCAAATAAATTAATCAATGCCACAACACTAAGAGCGCACTAAAGGCCGACAACAATTTTCCAATTCCATTACCTTTGTACTTACCCTATGTAGTATATATTTAGTTTTTTATTTTGTGGTTTTTTGGAAACACTATACTTTTCTTCATATTTAGTTAACATACAATTATTATTATGTGTATCTCACAATCACAGTCTGAATTGGAAAAGCTAAACAGTGTGTGTTTTTTCCTAAAATTTTACCTCACTGGATATTTAAGGATTTGTTATATGTTTTTATAACAATTTTACTTCAATTCATATATAGAATTCACTAAATTGAAATGCATAATCCAGCAGCTTTCACAGTGGTCACAGGACTATTTTCAGCTTTCATGACTAGAAATTGTGTGCCTCTACCACTGAGTTCAAGATCTGGTACTTTGTTCTGTTTTTTCTAACGTAATTTGGTACAAAGCAGATACTAAATAAGGAATTCTTAAGTGATCAAACAACACATTCTCCAATGCATGACTCCCCTGAGAACCTGAGATATAAGATAACATCCTCTGCTCTCCAGAACACTACAGGATCCTTGGAGGGTTAAGATTCACAGGAAAGTAACTTCTGGATGATGGATGTTGGATGAGGAGACCTGCCAAGGATTGTTACTGCATATCCCATGGGAAGGTCAGACTGCCTTGCTCTGTGAGGTCATCCAGGATAACTCCTGAGAGACAGAGGTTGCGTCTTAGCTCCATGGTGGCCCAGCTTTTCCTTTTTGTGGGACGACTGAGATGCAACTACTTTTGCCCACCCCGAGAATCTTCAGTAATCTTTCCCAAGCTGCTTGGTTTAGTAACTGAGAAAGCTGTATTTGTTGCTTTATTCTTCTTGTGTTCTAAGATCCAAGCTCCAAGATATTAACCACAAGAAGAAAACATTCAAAGACAACTGAGAGTATATCAGCTGCTATCACTTTTCCTGCAGGGCTCTGCTGCTGAGTCCAGAGAAGGTCATTTTTCACACAGCTGGCAGCCTAGCCTCGCTTCTTTCTCTGAAGCCTTACTATGAGTCCATTCACTGAGTTGCCACTTGCATATCATCATCATAATGTTTGCTTCTATCACATGTGTGAATATGCCTTATCCAAGAAGCTCCTTGATAGCAAAAATGTCATGTTTCAAGTTTTCTTTGAATACTTCACTTCTGGAAGGACTGCTTGAGTGTGTACATAGTATTTATTCATACTAATAATCTCGAGTAAAGGATATATTATGTTTATAAACTTTTCAAAATAGGAAGCAGTGGTTCCAGAAGTATGTGGGTTTTTGATACTTCTTATTGTGGTTATCTGAAATCTTGCTGTGAAATAACAGATCTCTAGTGGACTAAAAGTGATTTGAAGTATTAATTAAAATGCTAATTCCTTGATTGTATCCTAACTCCTTAAGGCTGGGGACTGAATTACAAAACTGAGTTTAGGATTTAGGAGTTGAAATTTAAAACAACAACAAAAACAACCACAACAATAGAAAGCTCTACAGTACCTGTGATTCACATCAATGTACAAGTTTTGAAAGGCAAGATCCTAGACAGTCAAGATTTAAAGAAATAGTAATTATTTAACCATGATTGGGAGCTGGTGAATGTGGGTTAGTTTGGACTTAATTACATAGAAAAGAAATATCTATAGAACCAAGTATTATAGGATAGTACCGCAATTCTGGAAGATTGTTACTTGGAGTATTATTTAGATTTTGTGTCTATGAATTTTCGTAACTCAGATAATGGATATCTCAAGAAGTTATTAACATTAACAAATGTTAAATGTATATTGATGTTTGCCTGCTTGAATCATATTTTTAAAATCATCCCTTGAAAAGTATGATGAGAAAAGATATCTCCGGGATGAGCTTATTTTTCATAATGGGTTGAGAGAATCTAGTTCTCTTTAAAAATTTTAAGTGTTACGTATTATTGCTACATGCGACCCCTGAACTTCCTGTTGAGGATGGTATAAAAAATTCATACTGTACAGTATTTAACAAAAGGGGTCAGGACCTGTGTTAATGCTTCATGTATTCAGATAACTAACAAATAAAAATATCAATCATAGCTCTTATTAGGTGATGAAGATTTAAAGGATATTTCTTTTGAGCTACAAAATTTAGCTCCAAAATTTATCTACTTGTCACAAACACCCTTTAGTTGTGATTACCTTCTTATTAATAAGAAAACTAGTTCAGATACTATATTGTTTGCTTGAAGCAGACCCTGTTTGTGATCTCAGCAGCCTGATCTTAGGAAATCTCTCCTCTTAATTACAAAGTTATGCTGATGGCCAAATAGGCATGGCTATGTCCTCTTGCATCTTTCTATACAAAGCAGGATGCAGTGTATTTTAGAATACTTCTTTTCCTCTCCATATAGTTCCATTTTGCTTTGTGTTTCACAGGAATAGTTTCCACAGGAATTGGTCCTCACGATCACTGGTTCCTTGTGCAGCCTTCAAGCCTTCATTCTACCCTGTGTTCACCAAAAATGTCCAGTGTAACTTTAACCTTCCAGATCAGTGCTGTCTACTGAAACTTTCTGTGATGGTGGAAAAGCTTTATAAATCTGCTTTGTCCAGAACAAGAGCTACATGTGGCAAGTGGGTACTTCTGTAGGTTAGGTATGTCTGAGAGACTGAGATTTTACTGTAATTAACTAATTCATGTCTAACTTAAATAGCTACAGTTCCAAGTGCCGCTCCAGCTCCAGATCATCTTCTCTTCATTTTTCTCCCCTGCTCACTGCTATGGGACACAACTTACTAAGGTTTAGCCATTTGACATTATGGATGTAGCATCAGTACAGGTCTTCCTAGGTGACCCTCAGAGCTTTCCTTTGGGGAAAAAGTATTTGACTCAGAATATTTAAATAAAAGCTCACAAAGGCCCATGACTCCTCTAAAGACAAGGGTAGTATTGTAATAATTTTATTATTAAATTGTCAAGCTTTTATTATTAAGTTGGTAAACATTCTCCATGAAAGGTTAGTAAATATTTTCTAGGTCACTTGGTCTCAGTTGCCACTACTCAACTATGTTGCAGGTGTGTGAAAGCAGCAGTCAGCAATAGGTGAGTGAAGGGGCATTCTTGTGCTCTCATAAAACTATTTACAAAAACTAGTGTCACCCTGGTTTGACTCTAGGGTCATAGCTTGCTGATATATAATTAGAAACATAATTCTGTCTTATGTATGAATGTTTTATCATTTAATTATGTACATGCTCCTAGACATTCAGGAGTGGATGGAGAGTCAGAAAATGTTTGTCCTTTCATTTTTGTGTAGAGGAGTTAATAACAAAAGATTAAATATTGAGATATTAACCTGTAAATCATGAACAGTATGATTTTAGATTCTGAACACAATAAAATGAGGAGTTAGGAGTAGGATTGAGAGGGAGGGGCTACTTAAAGCAGAGGAGTGGAAAGTCTTGTCTGCTGGTGAGCCATGAACTGAGCACTCAGTGCTGGGGAGGACCAGTCCAGTGAAAGACAGTGGGCAGAGGACTTCAGACAGAGGGAAACAAGAATGACAGTTCAGGCAGAAACAAATTTCCATGTGCGATGATGTTAAAAATAATCAGAAAGCCTGTGGGGGTTATGTGTCATAATGAATCAGAAACATGTCTGAAGCCTGATTCACAAGGTTCTCTTAGTGCAGTGAGAAACCTTGGTGAGATTTAAGAAAGAGAAGCAGGACGACAAGAAGGAAACTAGGAAATGACTTTGAAAATGTAAAAGTTGCTTTGCTGCAAGGTCATGTTGGTGTTTCCATACCTCTGCACATCCTCCAGCCCCAAAGACCCTCTAAAAAAAAAAAAAAACCAAGCCAGAATGTTTCCATTCATTTTAGCTCCTGGACATTGATTTCCAGAGTCATTCATGGAGTCTTTGAACAAGGCAAGCACTATAAAGGTTTTTTTTTTTTTTTTTTTTTTTTTTTTTTTTTTGCTACCAGAAGTCGGCCCATGACCTTTCTAGGCAGGTGCAGGTGCTGTACTGCTGAGCTGTACCCCAGCCCCAGTGAAGCATTTCTTTATTGGCACTATAGTTCACACCTATCATGCTATTTCTTTACTCTTACCTCTCAAATGTCAATTTTAGGATCTCCTAGGAACTATTTCAGATCTCTGCGCTCTGTGAAAGTGCTTGGAAGGTTTTATTATTCATAAACCTGCTACTTTTCTATCTGAAACCAATTAAGAATATCTGTAGACAATTTAAGGTCTTTGCCTTTGAGTTTAATGACTTTTTCTTTCAGTTGAGATTTAACTTTGTTTAAAAATGTGTAAATATCTTTGAAGTAGATTTGTGCATCATAGGGCCTAAAATCTAGTTAAATGGAACTTGCTGATTTGATTTGGAAGAGTAATTAAGGTCATGATATTGTTTAACTATTTGTTCAACTTTGTCTAGTTCAATGGAATGCAAATATTTGACCTTCTTGACAAAGATGGATGGATTGAAGCTACACACCATGATATCATTAGGTTGTTGAATAACATCATTATTCATGATTATAAGGAATTATTCAGGTGAAATAGTAAACCTAATAGGAAGCTATTATTTGTACTGAGAGTGTAATTTCACTGTCCTTGTCATTCCAGCCCTTTGGTTGAATTGAAGATAAGATATGTGTATTTATTTTGCTACAGAGAATCTTTCATAGCATAATTTAAACAAATGGAACCGATTATAATTAGTAATTTAGTAAGTAAGATCATATAACACTCTTCCAGAAAGAAGTTTAGTATGTTATAAATCTAAAAAGGAACATTTTCATCATTTACTGAGTTTTTCATTTGTGTGAATTTATTTTAAATTGTATAAAATTTCTGTGCTGATTAAAACATATGCAAAATTACAGTCGCAGAAAAAGATTTGAGAATATGCTTTAAATTTAAGATAGTACTTAAAACAATATAATTTTTGCAGATCCTTCAGATATTTACAAATTGTGGTCTGGAGCCAAATGGCGCTCCTGTCTGTTTTTGTAACTAAAATTTTATCACAACTTGGCCACACTCACTGTTTTATGTATTGTTTGTGGCTGTTTCCCCATTACCTTGACAGAACTGAGTAATTGTTAGACCACAGGGTCCGCAAATCCTAAAATGTTTAATATCTGGTCCTTCGCAGAAAAACTGTGTCAGACTCTAGGCCTAAGGAATTTCTGTAAATGAAAATAGAAACTCTTGCACTAGTTGATCTCAAGCAGTTTGAAGAAACTCCCAAAATTCACAAGGCTGGGGGAAATTCACATCAGAATTCATCTAGTTAAGCAAGTGTAGTGGTGTGTGTGGGGCTGATCTACTCTGTTACCATCAGCTTCTTCAGAAAACTGCCAGACATTATTACTGTGTGCTGTAAAAGGAGGAACAAAAGAAATTAACTTTATCTATGGTGGTTTGAGAATGTTCTTGCCTGAAAGGTGGTGATGGAATAAAATCTGTGATGAGTGATAAATTCAGGGTTTCTTCACATGGCCTTCCTTTTGTAACTCTATATAGAACTGACAGCTGAAAAAATGCAAATAAGATTTGATGATGAGTTTCAGAGTTTAGTTTTTACAAAAATACTTTTCCAGAAACATGCCAACAAAAGAATTATGTAACCTCCATCAGATTTATAAAATAGCTGTTTATTTGTAGAACAATTATTAGATATTTTAAACATGTAAAATGTGCAGGAAATAATATAACAAACACCATAAAATTTGACATAATTCTATGTGGCATAATTCCATATTTCCATTATGCTTAAGACCATCTTTTTAAAAGAAAAAATTATAGATCATCACCAACTGGAATCTTTTATTTTTTCAATCCTGGGGTTCTAGACACAGGACACCTTGCACATACTATGCCACTGGATTACATCTCCAGTCTCTAAATTGCTCTTGCTGACCTGAAACTTTTAATCTTCTGCTTCAGACACAAGTGTACTTGGTTTACAGATGGGTGCCACTATGCCCTGTGTTGTTCAGCTGGCATTTGTTTTCTTTGCTCCTTTTTAGAGCTAGATTTCTTGAGCTGAGTACCACTGACATTGGTGCCAGCTACTGGTTCTTGTGGGGGCAGTCCTATACTGTATGGTGGTTAGTAGCTACTCTAGCCTGCACTTAATAGATGCAAATTCTATGCCTTCTCTTTCTGACGTTGGAATGATTCCTATCTGCATAGGTAGGTATGCTTACATGTATTAGTGTCCCTAAGAAACACATAGCGATATTTACTTAATGTCTGTTCAATGTTTACTTATCCTATAAACATAATTAATCACTCAGCATTATTTTAGAGGTATAACTACAATGAAAGTTGAAGATCAAATGCTTGCTTTGTTAGCCTCTGTATTGTATTCCAGTCTCTGAGTATATAATGAATTAGTTAATTGTTGGTTTCTTTTGGTTGTTTCATGATTTTTCTTTATTAAACTTATATACGTTATCCTGCTGTCTCTGTGGAATATTGACCTAACAATGGAATCTCCATATTGGAAAGTAAGCATCTCATCAACTCTGAAGAGCTTTCAGAATCTGTATTAAAACTTCTCAGCAATGGATGAGAATTCCCGTTTCCACGTCCTCATCAAACAGCTACCTCAGCAAATGAAAAATGTTCACTACTCTAGTGGGTATGAAAATATCACATCTTCATTGTTTTAATTTAATTTCTCCAATTATTGGTGGCTAAAGCACTTTTCCATTTGATCTCTGCATGTTCCAGGGTCCCTTTTTGTCCCGTGCCTGTGTACATATTTTCACCCATTTTTCTACTGGGCCATTTTATTTTTGTTTTTTTCTACTGATGCCTCAATTTAATTCTTTTGTGATTATATCCATTCAAGATGTTTTCTGATTTCTAGCCTGGAGTTTTAGTGTGTGTGTGTGTGTGTGTGTGTGTGTGTGTGTGTGTGTGTGTGAATGTGTATATAAGATTTGTAATAAAATTTAAAATGAAAATTTTAATATAGCTAAATTTACTGGTATTTTGGTTTTGGTCTATGTATTTTATAACTAGCTATTTTTGTAATCTTGATATCATAAGAGTACCTTTTTATAGTTTTCTTATGAAATATTGTTTTTAAAAATGTTTTGATATCACCTATATATTTTATATAATATGAATTATTAATCCCCCTTTCTCCATTTGGAAAACTAGTCCATCCTTTCCTCATAGTTTTGATACAGATGTGTGGGTGTGTTTCTTGCCTGTTCACTGAGTTCAGTCTTTCTGAGTTGTAATAACACAGTGCTTTGTTGATAATGACTTGAAGATATCATTAGTTAGTTTTAGAAAGGCAGTCATACCTTTCCTCTTTTCATACGGTTTGGCTGATTTTTACTCTTGGATCTTATCAGTGAGATTTTCATATTGTTAATTCCATGGGAAAAGCAACTGAAATGTTTTAAAGAAATGCCAGTGAATATGTAGACTAATTAATGGAAATTTTATGTAACAGTGCTATTAGAATACTTTGCCATGAACACGATGTAGATCTCCATTTTTCAGTTTTGTTTTGCACTTCTATATGATCAAGTTCTGATGTCAATAATGAACAAAATGGATATTTTATTATTTTTGGATTTATACATTGGAAAAATTGAGAAAAACTTATAGTTGTTAACCTTATTAACACTGCATAAAGAGCCCTATGTACTTTATGGAAAACAGAAAACAGTTGATATAATGAAGGATTTAGTCATTTGTTCTTTATAAATATTCTTACTTGCTCTGTATTTGAAACAAATTTGTAATGGTTTTGAGAGACTAGGAAGGAAGAGAGAAAAAAATGGCTGCATTATGTGCTCAGGGTTTTCTTTGGGGGTGATGAAAATGTTCTGGAGACAGATAAGGATAAGAGCTATACAACTATGGGTTTACTAAGAGCCATTAAATCACCGTAAATGGCTAAATAGATGAATTGTATATTATCTGAAGTTATCACAATTTTAAAAATGTATTTCAGCACGTATATTTAAAAACAGAGAAAAGTTTTGTAATTTGTATAACACCTCGCCCGATAATACAAGACATGTCTCAATTCTGATGGAAAGTTTTAACCAAAATTACTACATTAATTTTTTGTTTTAAAAAGCTATTTTGTAACTAATAGGCACCTGAATTTCATGTTCCATCTGACACTTGATTATGTTCTTAATAAGAACCTAGTGTTCTTGAAATATTTTAAAAGTTCTATGAATTCAAAGATTTAGAATTTTAAACACGGTCATCATCTCTGTTCTCAATATTACTGCAAATATTGAATGTGCTATTCAATATTGTTCTAAATATTGAACTTAAAGTTCAATATTTATGAGTTGTCAAAATAGAAGCAGTGTTTTTTCTTCATATTTACAATCTAAATGTGTCATTTTAAAAGTAGCAATGTGATAGAGCATTACATTGAAATTAATGTGATGATGTTGAAAGTGTGACCTAATTAAATTGGGAATATAAGCACACTCCTAAAAACTGACACTGCAGCTTAGAATCTCTTCAGTAGTGAGGATATTGCTTGTTTATAATTTGCCTTGACAAGTTCATTGTTTTAACCTCATAGTATAAGCATATATTGGGTTGCCTGATAAGATGAAACAATTTAGGCAATTCAGAAGGTTCAAAATGAAGTTTAGTAAGTTATGATTGCTTTAAATAATGTATACATCCTACTTAATTAGAGAAATTTAGAAAATGTCAGCCATCTAAAGATTCATGAATTGGTATGTCAGTATTTTAAATGTAAAATTAACATTTTATGTGATTTTTGTCCTTATATTTATTGCTGTTAATTTCATGTTGTTTTCTTTCCTCCCAATACTTCTATTTCTTGTAATTGTTTGTCATCCAGGTATCTTCCATAAAGTCTTCCCTTGTCTTCTTCTCTATAAGAAACAACCATTTTGTATAAACTCTTAGTTTGCATTTTTGGAACTTTTCTATAAAATTACAATGAATGTTTAAATGAAGAATGATTGAGATGGGTGACAAATGTTTAACTTTTTAAAAAATTAATACAACAGGGCTGAGGATTTAGCTCAGCAGCATAAACACCTGCCTGGTAAGCGCAAGGCCATGAGTTCCATCCCCAGTCCGCCCTCCCCCAGAAAAATAATTAGTACAGTAAAGAATACATTACCATTAATCTTGTTCTAAAAACTTGCCCTTGATTTGAACACACTTATTCTTAATTCTTCCCACTTTCTGAAGCAGTTCTTAAATTCTTTCCTGAGTGTCTTTATTTGCACTGACATGGCTACTTCAGCATCCTAAATTCATTCAAACCATTTACTGTTTGTAGTCATTTTGACTCCGGACTACCAGAAGTCTAACAGCACCTGACCCAGTGAATAAAGTAGATGAGGACACACTGTGATGTTTTTACAAGCCTGCTTTTAATTGGATGCGACTCGGTAGCAGAGAAGTATTTTTTGATCACACATCATAGAGACATGATAGAGAATTTCTAAAACGGCTTCAGAACATGACAAGAATGATTGGTGAGTTGTTTTGTTTTGTTTTTGTTTTGTATCAGGAATCAAACTTATGACTTTGTGCTTGCTAGGCAAATGCTTTGGAGCTGAGCTATATCCCTAACCCTGAATGAGCAAAAGAAGTGTGTTTGAAGTGAGGAGGAGCAGTGGCAATGTGCCATTTGCTGTGATAATTTTTTTATAATTAAAACATTCACCACATATTTTTATCATGTCACATACACATGCTGTGTCCTGTGTTATATAACTTGATTCCCAAGAATGAGAGTTTTTTTCTAGATCAGAGAAAGATTAAGTGACACATAGAATCTCAAAAAGCAAATGGAAAATTGAGTGAACGAAAAAGGCTACATGGATGTACTAAATCTCTTGTACACATGACTCTCCAAATTTCTCATCATTAACATCTTATAAAGCTGTTAACAGTCAAATTTAAAGTGCCATTATTCATTTCTTCATAGTTCCTGGAAGTTTGCCCTAACAAATCCTCTGCCTCCAGCAAGGACCTGGGTGTAAAAAGACAGTTAGCCTCTTGTAGCTATTGAGAGGTGATGGGAAGTTTAAGAGATGCTTCTAATCATGGGCGAGCAATGCCTTCAAAGGAATGTTGGACCTTGGCTTCTTTTCCTCTCTTCTCTTCCAGCCATAGCATGAGAGACTTTGTTCCACCAAGCACATGCTGCCATGATGAACTGCTGTGCTTCAAGCCCAAAGAAACAGGACCAGGAGGGCATGGACTGAAATCTCTGAAAGCCTGAGTCAAAATAAACCTTTTTACATTTGTAAATTGACTTATCTCAAATATTTGTTATAGTAATGGAAAGTTGACCAGTACAATGGTGATTGTAGTGGACTTACAGTCCGGCCTATTTTTGCATCTTAAGGAGTACTTACAATCTAATTGCTTAGCTTTTTACTATATATCCAAATTTTTATAACTCCCAAGGTCAAATATAGATTTATGCCAAACTTTCTAGTGCTCAATTATGCAAAACACTCAATTGTCAGTATGTTAAATGCTGAACATCTACATTCCCATATAATGCTATAATAATTCAGCTTTCTTAAGTGTTGAATATTTCCTTAATATACATCCGATGGTAGAGTTTAGTTCTAGCCAAGAATCTATTAGCAAAATTGAAAACAATAGCTTTTAAAATAATATGTCAATCACTGAATGGAAATAAGTAAAACAGAGACCATGACACGTTAATTTCCAGGAATATTTATGTCCATTGGGTCAACATTCCTATTTTTGGAGGATAATATCTTTGAGCAAAATAGTTTTGTGTGTAAAAGATTAGAAAGTTCTTTATTGTAAAGGGAATAGAAGGGAAGTTTCAAACTAACTGAACATGTTATGCAACTTTAAAGAAAGAGTTTTGTATTTTAATATAGACATTAAAGCAAATATTACTATATTGGAACATTTAGTTCTGTTTCTGTTGTAATAAATTTTAAGAAAATCAATAATAACATAAAGATAAAATTGGTAACCTAGATCAAATATTTTAGTTCTCATGTAAAGGCTTTCTTATCTTGAATAGCTGATGTTATAAAATGAAATTCATTTAAAACATGGCTAAAGATGATTAAAATATCATACAGACCCAAAGTACTCTAGCTGTAGATGTTCATTAAATTGACCATTAATAACTTGTGATAAAAAAGAATATTATTACATTCATAAATTTTGTATGCAGATTTTATTAAGCTGGCATGTTATATGAATTGATTGTCTGACATCTTCTGGCTGTGACTGAAGATAATAGTGTTTCATATGCATTTTCAATAGTGCAAGAATTCTGACTGACTATTTCTAGTTATTATGTTTTTATTCAGGTTGGCAGTTTTTCCTCCTAGTATGCAATTATAATATATAATTATAGCGTTAGCATGAAACATTATGAGGTTGATGGTGTCAGCATTTGTATTATAATCTTGCTTTTTGTAAGGGTTCCTAGTTTGTGTGTGTTGACATGATCACACATGTGTGTATATTGAGAGAGAGGGAGAGAGAGATATAGGGAGAGAGAGAGAAAAGAGAAGAGAAACTCTTTCAGCTTGGTTGACTATTTTGCCTTATTAATGAATTATTTCCAATTAGTTGTGGAAATGTAACTGGACTAGTTTGCTATGGCTTAATTTTAAAATCACATTTTAGTTGACTGTTGTTTGCTTTTCTAATTTGAGTTGAGTTTGTAAGTTTTACAACCTGTTTCTAGTGAACCGTAGTGCCATTTGGTTTTGTAGACTTACTGTTAATCTAGCAGATTGCTTTCTACTTAGTCATCAGCAGGGATCACAAAGGTGGAGGTTGCATACTTTTCAGGAAGGATATTTAGTTTATTGCTTCTTAATATATCAAAATTCTTTCCTTTGTAATTCTTTTGTAAATCTTTTGTTTCCAGAAACAGAAAATGTAGAACAAAGGTCAAAGCCTGGGCCAGATTACCTTGTGTAGAAAATCAGTTCTGCTGCTTGAATCTTTGTTATATGTTGCTATAGAAGAACATCTGAGACTGGGTAGTGAATATAGGAAAGAGGTTTATTGTGGCTCATTGTTCCAGGTTGCTGGGAAGTCTAAGACCAGACAGCTACTTATGGGAAGGGACTTATGTTACTTCAATTCCTGATAGAGAGAGAGGAAGAGCAAACAGGAACATCTATAAAAGACAAAACATGGGGGTTGACCTCACTTTATATCATAGTGGTCCCTGGAGAACGCTCTTGCAGGCTCTCACCTAATCACTTGTTCAAGGCCTACCTACCTCTAAATATTGTGGATCCGATCTCATCAAGGTTTTGTGGGAGAAAACTACACTCATGCCATAACACTACGCTAGTTATTCAACATCTTCATACATGTGTACTCACTTATGAAACAGTGAGGATTTATTAAATTTATGCGAGAGGTTTTGAACAAAATATGTGTTCAATATTTACTGTTATTAATACTTGATTTATTAATACTTGGATTAGTAGGAGAGAGAAGACAAGAAACTTTAATTACATTTTTCTTTGTATTAATCAAGCAAGACATAGTAATAAAATTGCTTCCTGAATCTTTGATGCTGGTTTATCTGCGGAATTCCCCCCATTAGCAATTTGTTGAGTGAGAGCAAAAGGTTTTGCAGAGATACCCAGGCCTGAGTATATAATTTTGGCCTCAGGGAAAATAAACTTAGAATTTCTTGGTTCCCACTTTTGTAATAGGGGGATAATTATAGTTAACTGTATAATGAGTTGTTAGAAATACATGCTAATTTAAAATAAAATGTAATGGCTTGCAGGCAATATTAGGATAGTAGTTAATTGCTTGTTTGTGACAGCAATAAAACATTTCGTTATATGTCTTTACTTAAAGCAGTAATGATGCCTAATGCAACATTTTGTTTCCTTTCAATACTAGATATCAGAACATTTCATTGATCATATTGGCTTTTTGTTGTTGTCGTTCTTGGCTCCATAAACACAGAGCCAAAAAAACAACTCAAAGAACATGGATATTGATCATTTTAGACTGAAATTAGCTAATTGCTGGTAGAATAGTGTTCTTTTGTGTTTGTTTCATAGACAGATTTAGAACTTGACCTTGCCACAGCACTTTGTAATCATTTCCCATTTCCATCAAAAGTAAACAACTGTGAAAGTTGGGAGGTTGATTCCTGCCTCTTATTTATGCTTGAAGAACACAGAGGTCTATTACACTTATTACTCTGAATAATAAAATTGCCAAGCAGATGACTGGTTTTGAGTCTCAAGCTGTGTATCTGGGAGATTCAAATAGAAGGACTTCCTCCTGCTTTCTGGCCATCTGTGAGTGTAGACACCTTTTTGTTATGAAACTAGGCTCAGGTCCTCCTGCCAAAAGTTAAAAAAAAAAAAAAAGAAAGAAAAGAAAAAAAATGAGAATGCACCTAATGAAAATTAGGTTATGGAGCCTCAAAAATTAGCATATTGACTATTTTATAAGAATACTTTAAAAGGCTGTTATAGTAATTCAGATGTACACAGAATCTTTAAGCTGTTCCAGTGGATATCTTAGTAGGAGTATGGTAGAAGCAGATGTGAGTAATTAGAGAGGTGGGCACAGGTAGGTCTAGTTACTATGCCTATATGCAGGGGTGGTAAGTGCGCCACACTATCTGGGCCAGGTGCAGGTAAACTACATTTAGGAAACTCCAGTTGTATCTCCCTTGTAGTATCCTTGTTTAACTGAATGTGTTTTTCAAAATCCCAACACTGATAAAGGGAGAAAGATGTGTGTTCTGTTAAACTGAACTGTGGTGGAAGCCAGTGATTGTTTTCCCACATATGAAGATTATCTTTATGTTGTCTAATGAAATTGTATGTGAGTTTCTGTGACTTGTAAAGATGATTTGTACTCGTGTGACTTATAACTTGAGCTTCGTTTCTTTAAGGAAAGAAATAAAATGAAAGGTACTTTTATGTTAAAACTCTTGTCTTTTGTTATGGGAGGTAACAATGATATTTGTCTAAAGATGATTATGATTCATTTTTTTCCAAGCCCAAGGTCCTGAGTTTAATTCCTGGTACCCCTGAAAATCATTTTTTTTTTTTTTTTGGTAACAAGCATTATCTATTCTATATGGTTAAAAATGTTCATTTTCTGATATGCCTTGCATTGTTCATGTGCTTACTTAGAATACTAATCCTTTTACTATCATCTTCATCCACCTGCTTGGGAGGGCCCAAAGAATATTTTTGTGGGTGAGGTCACCAGCTTAAAGAACGCACATGTGCAAGATATCAACAACAGCAGCAGGCAAAATGGAACAGAGTCATCTGTATTTTTCTTGTATATTTTTTATACAGGTTGTTATCACTTATTTACATTCTTACATGCTGGCTGCATTGTGCACTGATAATTCATGGTTATATAATTATGCCCTGATGTGCACCTGCACTGACAATGATATCATGTCCTCAGGGCTGTCTGGACTCATCCTTACCTGCCCTGAGCTTTGACTCTGTCTGGGTGGTTCCCCACAGTCTTGTTCCATCCTTGACACATCATGAATGTCCTTTCTTCATGTAGCAGAAAGTTTCTAATATAGTAAGCCCCCAATGTCTGAGTCAGTTCTGTCCTGCAAAAACATTCTCAGATTGAATTTGTTCATAATCTAACAAAATGAGTATTATATAGTACAGTTGTGAATCTTATATGGTATACCCATCACAGTTCACAACTCTACCATCCAAAAGTCAGGAAATTACTATATATGAATTAAAAGAGAAGAGAGACTACCAAAGGTGAAATAGATTTTATTCATTTACAGTCATTTAAGTGATTGAGGAAAATCTCCATAGATCCATGTTTTATATAAAATGTTGGCATCAAGCCTTGATTTTACTTCTAGCTATTAGACACCTGGTTTTGTGTTAGATCTTTGGACTTGATGAACTTGCCCGTCAGAGTTAAATATTATTAGTTATTCAGAATCCACAAAAAATGATCATCTATAGTACAGTAAAACTCTTATTAGAGAAACTAAATATTAAAAACTTTCTTTCTAGAAACTGCAGTGACCCACAGCTAATGGAGTCCTGAGGAGAGGCAAAGGGAGATAATAAAAGGAAAGCTGGGGCCTGGTGAGCCCTGACCTTTCTGGTGGAGAGGCAGTGAGAACCTAGCATGGTCTGTGTCTTTATTTATTCACAGTAAACAGGAGGAAGCACGTGACAGAGCCAAAAGTGCAAGATCCCAGTGTTTTTCTGAGATGCTGGAAAGAAACATTCTCTGATCTATCTGTGCTGTAGTTAACAGGGAGTAACACCAAGACAGGACACCTGCAGGACTGGTTTTGCTCTAGTCCCAACAATTTGTTCACATGGCTCGCCTCTGGCACTCTGTGTTCTTGAGGCTGGCCTTGCTGTAGCTCCAAATATGTGGCTGATCTCTGGCTCAATCATTCCCCACCAGTAAATACATATTAGCTCATACATTTTTAACAAAACTGTTTAATAAAGCTATGATATAACCTGCATTTTCCATTTTATTTGTTACATAGCATATTGTTTAGTAAGTTGCCTAAATAGGGGTCTTGAACTTGATTATCTGTAATGAAGTTGGTTAGTCACACTGGTTATTAAAATACTCAAATAATATTTCTGCAGTACATATATATGGCTCTGACTTGAATCCTAACATTCTACTTCTCCTGGGCCTCTCCCCCAGATTCCCAGACTTTTCCATGAGCCACCAAACTCAGAATTAATGCCTGAACCTACAGTTTCCTACCCTAGCAGCATTGCCAGCTTCTACATGTCTGCCCCTTCCTGAAAGTTGTTTCTGGATAGGTCTATGATGAATGTTAGATAAATAAATAAAGGGCTACATGGAATCCAAGTTAAAGGAAAAGTAGATTAAAACCTTGCTCTAAGTATTCCTAAACTGCAGAATCAAAGGTAAACCATAAATCATAGCAAATGTGAGACAGGTTTAAAATAGTGCTACAGCCAGGTCCATGGCAATGCATAATGCCTAAAACTCTGCTAGGAAAATAAACAGTAACTCAGTGAGTACATCATGGACCACCCCCAGACTTCTCCTAAGTTAAGGGAATCAAAAGATTGCTTGGCAAGAGGCCCACTCTGGTTTCCTGATCATTTACAAGGTTTCATAATGAAGTCAAAGGATATTTCATTTGTCTTTATACTTTGGGCAGTGCCAGTGGCTCTGTCCGGTGTTTTTCCAGTCTTGCCTACCTCCTTAGAACATTTGCATTGGCATCACAAAAGGTTGGCTTCACAGTCTTGTAAATAGTTGAATAAAAAACCTCTAATACTTGGCATTTTAAACGGGCCCTTAGATGGTTCATCTAAAATCTATTTGCTTTGGCTGGCAATACAGATTCTCTGGGTAATGAACTTCAATTTTGTCACCTGGTTATATCTTTGAGATAGCAGAAAAAGGGAGATGGAATTAGGAGGAGAGATTGCTGTACAAATAACTTGGCATTAAAGACTTCATTTTCTCTGACTTGTCAGGGCATGAGCTAAACTTGAGACACACTATTTTGCTATAAAATGTGATGATGGAGTGTTTTAAATTTATGATAGGGTTATTCCTCTACATTGGCAAGTTTGAGATAGACAGGTACTACAGCAAGCTCCAAGTATCAAATAACTGAGAGGCAAGTTCAAGATAGATTACTTTCAGTCTGTAGCAGTCTATACAACTATATTTATTAATTTCTGTGCTTACGATCTCCATACTCTTCAAACAATCTTGAGAAAATGTGGCATCAGAGGTAAGCCTTCCAGGTGCTTAGAGAAGAACACCGAATTCTGTCCATTGTTGCCTTCTCCTACTTGGAAAATATGTCCACAGTTTATGTTTTTGATGCTGAGCAGTAATTAAATGTGGGAATTGTGCAATTTCAGAGGCCAGCCAGAATCAGTTTTTTATTCTCTCTTAACTGGTTTCTGTACCTTTCTTGGTCTGTTCTTCCTTGCTTATATAGCTTTTACAACTGTGTCTTCAAATGCTGAGGACCAAGAGATAACAGAGTAGTGTGCTGGTTTAACTGGCTGAGCTCAGTCTTCCTCCCTTAAAACCTGGTTACCTGAGGCCAGTTCACTAAATCTTTCCAAAAGTCACTTGGAGAATTCAGCCATAAGAGATTAGCCAAGTTTCTGGCAAACAGGAATTTCTTAACTCTGATTTATCATAGACTTTATATTCATGATGAACCATTTTATTTGTGATTGGGTTATTTGGCTAGACATTGTTTGAGTCCATCTAAATCAGGTGCTTTGGAAGTTTTTGAAAAATGGCCAATCCATCATTACAATGTGTGCTCTCCCTTGAGAGCAGCAGTAGAGCAGTAGTTTTGATTAACACTAACTTCATACTGAGAAATTTTAGTGGTGTAAAGAAATTATAGGCAATAATAATTTTTAAACATTAGCATTGTACTTGAGAAATTTATGACTAGAAATTTGAACACTTAATTTACCCTTAACATTGTTCATTTTTGTCATTATTGTTAAGTTTTAGTTTTTAAGGTAGTCTTGTTAATTTGTTAACTTTTTAGGGTTTTCTAGAGGTCTAATTTTTAAAATTACAGTGATACATACAGAAATATGTAATATGAAATTGTATATTATCTGTTATATGTTTCCAAATAATAGATATGAAAGTGTACTATAGTATTAAACTAAGACATGAATTATACATTTCTGCAAGCTACATCAAAATTGGTTTTCTAGTCTATTTCCATATAGGCTTGAAATATATTGTAGTATCATAAAAACAACAGATTAAAGATGAAACCATATCATTAGTACTAGTTATGGATGACATGCTTAGCATAAGCTCTGTATCAGCACTAACTAGGTAATCAGAGATGATTTCAGGGATAAATTAGCTGATACTGAATAGGGATCAAAAATGTGCTGCACATGAGAGCTGAATTCTCATCTGTTGCTTAAGTTGACCCAAAATATATAATTAAATCTAAATTTATTGATGAGAAGCTGCTCAGTGAAAGATAAAATATGTATTATTACCTGCCATCCTTTTGGACAAAGAGTAGTGCTTTGGTTTTATTTATCAAAAGCAATTCTTTGAAGCATAAATGGGTATGTGTGTGTAGTTGTTAGGATTTACTAGCATCTGGAATATTACTTTAAATAATTAATGAAAGTGACATCAAAGCCTGCTCCTCTCTGACCTATAGATTTTTAGTCATCAGTGGAAGATCTGATGGTACACAGTGTTTTCTTTGCCTAACCTATCAGACCTCTTTGGAGGTATCCCAAATTTGTTGATAGATACTAAATTGAGTGATTAATGTTTGATGTTAGGCAGCTGTGGGAACTGCTCAAGGGCTTATGGTTGTTTGTAGTGCACAGAAAATATATGCTTTGTATAATCAGTTCAGCTCTCTTTGTGATCCTGTATTTTATGATTCAGCTATACTTATGTAAATAAATAAATAGCACCTGGCATAGTTTGATCTTTTTCTTCTTTCTAATTAAAAAGCAAAATTGAAATAAAACTTCCCATTAGAAATGCCATTTCTGAATCACTTACTTTTTAGTTTTTATTTCTGTACTTTCATTAAGCATATTCTGTAAATATTTATTGTACCTTTTCATTTGAGAAATTGCACCTTTTTTTTTTTTACCAGTTCCTTATAATATTTGGCAGCGTATTTTTTTAGAGTTAGGCATTTGAAGGGTACGCTAGGTAACAAATGCTCAGAAGTGTCTCTTGTACTCTGCTGCTTTATATTAATCAATAAAATCTTAGACAAATAATCAGAAGTTGTTCTTTGAAGTGGCAATGTCCTTATATCGCAGTTATATTTTTTAATTCATGTTCTCTGTGACCTCACTACAATTATTAATCATAGTTTCGGATCTGTGTATGGGAAGGTGAACAGTCTTGATTTCTCAGTTTTCAGAGAACCTCAAGGTCTATTGTAAATATTGTCCATTGTGAATATTTATTTACCCTCGTGGCCCTCCCTAGCCAGCTCCAACTCACGGCTTGAATGTTTTCCATGCCAGTTGACCACGGCATCTTGAATCCGGTCCATCTGGCTCTTTCCTAGGACATTCAAAACTCTGTATCTGAGTAACAATATTTGCAAAAGCTTTAGGACACTATTACATAGCACTGTAACTTTGATGTCGGTTAAGGGACAAAGTCATATTTCTTTTCTTCCTTGGAGAATCAATAATGTGGTCATACTTTCAGAGACAGGCATGTCTGAACTACGAGCTGGCAGTACATTATTTTCAAATCTCTTTTCTCCCAAAGGTCCCTCAAGTCTAGTCTTCTTTGACAGTTTCATCATGAATGTGCTACAGTCTTACCGTTCTGTGCAACCTTAGAAAAGTTCCATGGAAAACAGTATAATTAATACAGTGTCTTTTACTGGGTCCCATTTGTAATGCCCAAAGCAACAGTTGTATTATATTTCACTTGGATGGGATACTTCATAGTAGGTGGCTTGAGTTTGATATGCAGTGTGATTATATCCTCTGTGTCACTGGGAATTTGGAGTGACTTCTATGCATACTTTCTCTATACCTACAACATACTCTGTTGTTTCATTTATTTGTTTCTTCATTTATTTATGCCAAAATGAATTGCTTTTTCCATGTAAAATATTTTTCAGCACAAATGAAGGAAAGGAAATGGAGTAGGGAAAAAAGTATGTAATACCTGCAGCACTGTGCCCAGCAGATCATTGGTGGTGGCTTTAGCAGTGTTCTTATTGTTGCGCCTTTCTAGAATTATTACTATTACCATCACTTTTATTATAGTACTTCCAAAACTTTTTGCCAGGTTCATTCTATTGTTCTTTATAGATGAGACCATTGCTTTACCACAAAAGGCACTGAGAAATGAGATAATTATCACTAGGTAACTAGTTTGAAGGTGGCACTTAATCTAATTGTTTAGCAGGGCCCTGCCTTGCTCTGCATTCAGACTTCCTAGGGTCAATTCCTGGTTCCCATTTTTGTTTACTGTGTGGCTTTTAATTATTTATATTATTTCTTCATCTGTAAGTGGAAATCATGAGACCCACTCATTGGAAGGATGAAATTTGATAATAAAATAAGCAGCTCATCCTTAGTAAGCACTTTGCAAGCAGTCAATGTCAATGCTGTAGTTTTATTGTTGCTCTAATTGTTATTACTGTGTGTTATTTTTTTCACTGTTATTGTTTCTACCATGAAGACAATTTTTCCCTTTACTGCCTAACAAAGAATCCACATATACTGTCTGCTTTTTACAGTAAGCACAATAAACAGATCAAGCTAATTGATCTTTCACTCATAGCATAAACAGCATGTTCTCAATTATATAGAAATGTTCGGGTGAAATCATTTTAGTTCTATGCTGATCATCAAATCAAACCATGAGCTTCCTGCCCTTTAAGATAAAAATGTGTATAGTCTCTATTTGATTCCTGAGACATTACTTCCAAGATTATATTTTACATATATTTGTATCTGTGTACTTATACTGATCATATATGTATAAGTACATCCACCTTTTGGCATGAAATCTCTGCGCTTGAAAACTAGTATTACATAATTATTATCACTAGATCAAGAAAGTGCAAGTATTTATATGAAACTTCTTAACAATAGCGTTGCTCTCAATAGGTTGTGTAGGGATCTATAGTAATTATACATAATGTGGCTTGTGGGATGCCTGGCACATGCTTATGCATATACATTCAGTATACATAAGCAAACAATAATGGTATCAAAGAGTATATAACAGAAATGTATCACTAAATTAGAAATCCACTGACAAATTTAACCACTCAGATTCCTTCCTTGCATCTCTCTTCAAAGAAAAGAAATAATGAAATGAAGAAATGAGTGATCAATTTCTTGATTCTATTATTAGCCTTAATTTTGTGTACATGTAATTTTATGGTCTTTATTATATTTTAGGTTATAAATAAAAAATTTTAACCATTGTATTATGGTTTGGGCCTATCTGTCTTCCCCCCAGAGACTTACCCAGTTATAGGTGGGACTTTTCAGAGGAGGCTGGATCTAGAGTATGTAATGCTGGGTTTGATGATATGTGATTACTAAATTATTTCACTGGTTATGTTTGGTGTAGTTCTGGGTAGACTTACTGGTACTCTACCCTGAGTGTGAGTGCTGCCCATCCTAAGGTAACCTGGGTGCAATGTAAAAGGGACAGAAAGAAGCTGCTACTCTCAGTTGCCTGGTTTTGCTGCCTTGTGTCTGCTGTTACCTGTTTCTCCTCTACAATGCCCATCTGCCAAGTCACGCTACCATGGTTCCACCTGATTATGGACTAAAGCCTCTATAAAGCATGAGCCAAAATAAACTTTTCCTCCTTTAACTTTGGGTGTCAGGTATTTTGTCTCAGCAACAAGCAAAGGTAAGTAAGACATACTGAAAAAGAGTTCAAAAGAACTAAAAAAAAATACATTCTGCAATCCTCAAGAAAAGTTAAGACCATTCCTCTTCTCACTCCATGGGTTAATGGCAGATTTGACTCTCTATTGTTTGTTTTCTTTTGTAGGAAAAAGTAAGAGTAATTGTTTTAATATGATTTTATAGATTCTATTCTTAAAAATACTGCAAGATATATAGTCCAGTATTATATTCAACATATTGAAGGCTATATAAATATATAACATATGTAGAGAAATATACATTGAAATGCTGAAAAATAATATAAAACAATTTATGTTAATATTTGCTTACCTGAGTCCAGCAACCTTGGAAAATAGTATTAGATAAAGAAATTCTATACTTTTTGTGTTCTTGTAAAGAGCCCTCCTTCCCTTACCTCTCTTTCTGTCTGACTCTGTATCTGTCTCTGTCTCTCTGTCTCTGTCCCTTTCCTTTTCTCACTCTCTGTATTGGTGGTATTGAGGATTGAACCGAGGGTCTTCATATTGATATATATTTTCATTCAGAACTCAGTAAGTTGCCAAGGCTGGAAAAGCCTCTGCCTTACCCTCCCACAGTGCTGGAGGTGCAGGTGTGCACCACCATGCCTTGCTAAGAGCTGCCATTTTCTGTATTACTTGGACAAACCTACTTAAGAACCCCCTCATAAGACCTCCTTGACATAGCCCGAAGCGGAGCTCCCACACTCCCTGAGTGTATTATTTACTAACTCCGATGGCACCTTTCCTTTTTTCGTATTCTTGAACTGTGACCTGGCCTTCAGCATCCAAGTGCAGAACATCACCTCTTTAATGATCCCTCTCCAGAAGTGGTTGATTTTAGAGAATGCTTTTCCTCCTCAGTTGCCTTATCAGGCCACTTGCTCATCCCACTTCCCCACAACTATTTTATATACTCCTGTTTCCTCCTCCTGTAAAAGAAAATCCCTTTCTGCCTGACTTTTGAGACACCTTCACATCTTAAGGTCAGAGCTGCCTTAGATGGCAGTAGTCTCTCTCCCCTTATTAAATCACCTTTTCTAATAAAATCTTAAGTATAGATGTGTTTTTAGCTTACGTTTGCATGTATTCCCTCTGTAACCTACAACTATTATCTGGTCTTCACCCTAATCACAATCAGTTTCCTGTCCCAGACTTTCTCTATGGTACTGTTGACACATTTGTTCCCTTCTCCTGTCTCTTACAAGGGGGTATTTTTATTCACATCTTGCGCCAAGACACTGAGATTCCTATGTGTCAAGTCATCCTGAAGGAGACTTGGAAGGAGGGATGGAATCTGAAAACTTCCATGACCAATATCATAACCCTCTGGTGTCTTCCTCCCTTGCCTCCATTAACTCCTGGAGGTCTTGGCTAATATTGGGCTAGTAGTGATGATGGCAGCTCCATCACTGAGTGAGCTGCATACAGATTCTGTGTGTCCTTTTCCTTGTGACACAGACCACACATGGGGAGACTGATGCCAGTATCATTCCTATTCTGTTTACACTGAAGGAGTGCGAGGTTTGAGTGATTATCCAATTGGCCTACGCCTTTGAAGTGGGGATGTATCTAAATGACAACCAACCGTTACCCTTCACCTTGTGATTATCCATGAACTGCATTCCTAGATGCAGCCCTTCTAGTTCTTATCTAGCTTCCTGCAGTACTAAACACAGGTGGTCCTCCAAAACCTCTCTCCTTAGTCACTGGGAGTTTGTGGTGATGATGGAGCACTAGTTTCAGAGTCACAACAAAGGGATTAAATCTATCTTCTGCTCACATTAAATGTAATATTTATTTGTTGTTTATCTCAAATAAATAAATGGGAGAGAATGCTTTCCAGGCCTGTGGTAGGTGTTACTGTAGCCAAGGAGAAAATATTTAAGTAACTGAGTTCCTGTGCTTCTCTGCTCTTTATTTTCCTTTATTTCCTTTGTTTTCCTTTATTTTCCTCATCTGCTCGATGGATTTCTCAAGATATCAGATTTATGAAAATGTTCTAAAGGTTTGAGAAAGAATGAGTGAAACTTTCTGGTCCCAGGGCCTTGCATATAGTAAATACTCTGCTGGTTACTGCAGCTATTATCATTATTGTCATCATCATCATTATCGACATTATCAACATCATCATCACCCTCATATTAGCTGTTATTTTAACCCCAAAAAGTCTTGTTCATATCATAGAAGAATAAATATCTTTTTATGATGAACAAAAGTCTAGAGGCAACTAATAGCAGATAACTCAAATTGTCTCATTTTGACAATCAGTTGTGTTTGCTATTTAAATAGTGCTATTTAATGATTAGAATTGTATTTTATTAAGAGTAATACACATGTGAAATTGAACCTCTGGTGTGTTACTTTAATGTCTTAAAGATGCAGTTAATCATTTTCTTGCCTAATCATTAATAAAGTATAAAAACTATAATATACAAATGAATATTATGAAATTTCCAGAGTTCTCCAAAACTACTCATTAATTTAGCCCTATAAAATTAACCATAAACATTTTTATTATATATGAGTGTGACAGAAGCCCTTGGGTGCTTCATTTATTCTCTGGTGTTCTATTCTGTTTATTTAAGATTCTGAGACTTATTTTTTCATTAATTTTGAATTTTGCAAATTATTATAATGTGAACACATGTTCATTTTTCCTTGGATGAGAAAATAAGCTTAATGAGAAAATTACTTAGGCTTGTTATGCCAGAAGAAAATCAGGGTTTTGGTGTTGGCCCGGGCAGGGTTGACCTTCCCTGGTCTCTGTCTGCCTTGTCTAATTCATTTCCCTTGAAAGCTGTGTGAGCAGACACAGCCCATGTCCTGATTGTGTCACTACTGCTGGCAGGAAGAAAAATGCATCAGAATTCATGGCGATATCTCTATCCAGTTCTGAATATGAGGTTTTGTAAATGTCTCCCAAAATAATGCCTCACCTCTGATATGCCTCCCAGTGTTATCTGCAGTTCTGTGAGGTCAGAGTTTCATGCACAGTTACCTCAAACTCAACAGTTTTGAAAGAAGATTCTTTCCCACTTTAGTGCTCCTTCTACCATAAAGTTTTCCTGGTTAATGGGCTTTCCCTGGCTTTGAGTTTCAGGTTTTGCAATATTTGTCTCTGTTTTTCTGTTAAATCTCCCTGGGTTTCTCACATTCTTCTGTTCTATCCCCACTGCCATATCCCAAGTCCTTCTTCCCACCTGTGCACCCGTGTCCACTCTCCTATTATTCCACCTTCCTCTCTCTTTGAATATTGTAATAGGTTCCTAATTGATCTCCCTGCCTTCAGCTCTTCTATGCCCTTTAGTTAATCTTGGAGCAGTACTCATACAAATTAAGTGTTTTAATTGCTGTTTGATTTGAATTGAATATTATCAAAGAAGCTGACTATCAGTGTGGGAATGAATTTTTCAATGTTGGTACATTATCTTAAGAAGAAGATCTTGAGAGTAGAGAAGTACTACCTTCAAGGGTGCACACATCTTTTTTTATATCTCCATTGCATCATTTACTGTAACTCAGTTTGATTTGTAATCAACATAATAGCTCTTCCTTTAAAAATTTTTTTTAACTCCAAGACGTGCAGCTTGTTAGTATTAAAAATACCTGTTCTCTGTAAAATGAATAGAATAAGAAATTTCTATAATACAACACTAAAAGAAGATAAATATCAGGTTGTCAGAAAATTTAAATGAATAATGGTATTTGAGACATTTATTTTTTTTCTTGCAGTTTTGAGATATAGTAATTACTGCTATTTAAATTTCCCCCCAATTTAGCTTGCTTAGATGTCTTTGTGATTGGAGGCTTTTGGACACATAAGGTATTTTCCTATCCTGTCAGTTCTTTAAACAGAATATTTTCATTTGATCTAGAAGAAAACAAAGCTTGTAGAGTTGAAAAGCAGCAAAACTAGCCTTGTTTTTCAAGTAGGGCATTGTATAAAACTTGGTAGAACGAAGAGTAGGGATGTAGTTTGAAGAAATAAGTGGGCTTAAGCTTACATTCATTTAAAAGATGAAGTCTTTTGATACTGTTTCGGCATATAATTAGGTTAATAAGTTAGTTAAAATATGAACACTCAAACCAAATTAATCTTCTTATTTGAAATAAGAATATTTCAAATGCTCAACTTACAATTCAACAGTGGAACGTTCAATGACTGAAGTTGGCCTAAGCTCTTTTTACCTATGCAGAATATAGGGAGACCCAGGAGATGTGTTTCTGTTCCTTGAATTGTGCCCTTCTCAGCAGGGGACAAGAAACTTAACAAATTCAGTTCTGCCCTAATGCTTCTTATTTAGATAGTATTACATGTGTTTACTTCTGTGCATACAAAGGATTTCAGGTAAATAAGATTCTGTAGTAAAAATGCCAAACTATGTAGATAAAGTAAAAGCTATGTGTTCTCTTATACAAGGGCCTTCTGATTCTTGTGATGGCCCTGCTAGAAGGGGCATGAATCCAACTGGAAATTGATGCTTTTCTCCTTAGTAAAGTTACACTCATTTCTAGATGATAAACAATTCCCTATTATTGTGCTGGGCTCTGGGTTAAGTATTTAATTTTGCCACAAAAGTGTAAGGGACATGTTCTTCTCCATGTCAGAAGTGTGGACACCGAAACTCAAAAGAGTTAAGTGAACATACCAAAGCCAAGGCTTTCAGTGGAGTCTAGATGCTTTTAGCTTCAAGGCCATAGCTGTGACTTTGGCAACTCCTCTGGATCTGCTGTTAATTTTCTGGCATCACCAGTTTTAAAAAATCATGATTATTAGAATTCAGAAATTTATTTCCCTCTTCCATTAAATTAGGGATTTCCGTAAAGTTTCTTTTAGAGGAAAGAAAATTCCTCAGAGAAGTAGGAATGGAAGAAGGGATGGATTTAATAAGTTTTAAAGGACTGACAGGTTTAGGGCCAGTAGCTTTGACTGAAGGACAACATCCCACAGTTTGGTCTTTTGTTAGTATTAAGTGGTTAGTTTTATTTGACTAAATCCTTAAAAATGTGATAAAAAATTTATGAATGCAAATAAGAAAAATTATTTTCTCTTCAGGGAAATACATATGTATTATTTTTGTCAATTTGAAGATTTTTTTAAAAACCAAGCTGATTACCAAAAGATAAGAGAAACAGCTTTTTTTTTCAACATTTACATGAAATGACACTAACTTTTGTTTGAACAAATGTCCCACACTTTTCAATAATATGATGTATCTGTCCCTTTCTGCCTCTTAAAAATGGAAATATTTGTAAAGGTAGTAGCATTTTTAGTCTTTCTTATTCCCACAATTCCCCACTGTGTTACTTGGTGCTGAGCCTTAGTGGAAACCAGCAGGTGCAGGGGTTCTCTCGGTGAGGTGCCTTGCACGGGTGTGGCTGCCTGCAGGCTGTGGGGTCTCATCCTAACACTGCGGAACGATGCAGAGTGGGTCTGTCTTTCTTTTGGGAGGATTGTGTTGTGTCAGTTATGATGTACTCAGGTTCTTCTCATTGCACATGGAGAGGTGCTTGAAAGTACTTGTGTGGCCAGATGGTGCCTGCTGGACTCCTCAGTGGCTTCCCATTAGCTTAGACACTGCTGGCGTGGTTCTCCCTCACCTTTGTCTCCTTATCAGCTGCTTATCCCCCATGCCCACCACTCTCCCACTCTATGTCCTAAATTCTAGTCCCCATGCTCTCCAGTGCCTTTCCCCATATAGGTGTCTTTGCAGATGGTCCTATGCCTGCCTTGATGCTCTGATGGCCCTCACCTTCAATATCATTACCTCTTTGGGGTTCTCCCTACCTGTAAAAGTCTCTGTTGGAAACTCTTGGCAGCCTGACCCTCTGTTGAGAGGTCATGTCTCAACTGTACTCTGCATGTGTTTTCTCATAATGTTGGAGAAAGCAGATAGGATATGATGATCAAGCTCCTAGATACTGTATTCATGCATCTGGCCTCACACTAGACTCTGCCACTAGGCACTTTGACACAGTGGCACTTCTACAAAATGGTAGTGATTACCATGCCTCATTCTTAGAAGTGTGGTGGGCAAATGAGTTGATATTAGAACATCACCTGATACAAGGATGAATTTCACTGCATGGTATCTCATTGTATTATTTGATTAATGGTCATGAATCTATTAGACTGTGAACTCCAGCAAGATGAGGTTTCATTAGATTTTGTTCAGCAATGTGCAGGCTGCACCTGGCACAGTGCCTAGCCCACTGTGGACACCATTCAGCAGTTGTATTTACTATACTTTGGCACTGATATAGGTAAACCATGATTGCTTCAGCCTCAGATCAAGCTGGTAATTTGATCTCTCATTGGATTTAGAGGTGTGCTCTTGAAAACCAGACACTAGATCTTGTTTCTTTGTTCTGTACCTTTTGATGGAAGAACATGAGATCCTATCTAGAATTGTGATCAGGATTAAGGGTCTGGCTTTGTCTTCAATGTGGGCTTCACTTGTACTAAACTAATGGTACCCTCATTTTCATCTTTCTGCTGCACATTGCTTTTCATTAGTTATAAATTTAGTTGGAAGGTGAGCATATCACACATATTCAAAGTAGAGGTGTTGTAGTTAGGGCAGACTACTTCCAGAGTGTGGTCCCCCACTTTTAGCCCACTTGTGCCTGTCCCTGGAGATCTTTGTCTTCAACACATAATGTGCTGTCTAAGGCTATTAAGTGGTACACCCACTTGGGAAACGTAATGAACAAACATGGAAGTAGTCTACAGAAAGAGAAAGCCTCCAGCCTTTTAATCTTAAATATGGAATAATCAGAAATGATGACATCATGAACAGCTGATCCACTTAAGCTAAAGATAAGATCTTTATCGTGCAGCATATGATTTTGAAGGCTACCTCATTTCATTTTTAAGAAAGAGCGTGTCAAATGTAGTGAAAAAAACAAAGTCATATGTATGAGTCATTAGTTACTTGATTTTCATTTAGCTGAATAACTTAGTGTGATAATGTCTCCTGGGCTCTGAGAAATCTTTCTATCCATGATACAAGAGAGATATTTCAAGAGATATGTTTGTTCAAGAGTGTTATATATTTCAGATTTTGAATTTCTACTATTCATGGTTACAAATGGTAGAATTGGGTTTGGTGAGTAATTTTTAATGAAAAGGAAAATCAAGAAAAAGGCATAATGTTGAATAGCATATTTAGTGCCAGAAAACTTGATAAAACGATCAAACTCTTTTTTGGTACTTCCAGATTTAATTAAAATAAAGATTTCATTTTTCATTGAGAAAAAAAATTATTGCGTAGTGGAATGCATCAGAATAAGGGGTCCTCCTCAACCCCACATGCACAACAGGGGATTTTCTTAAATAGATTTTCTGTGCCAGTTTTGTTGCATAAATTCTTTCTAAACATTTTTTTAAAAATTTAAAATATATTTCCTTTAAATAGAGTCCTAAGTTTGGTGTTGATGAATAAGGATCCCTTAGATTCAGATATTACTTAAGTTGACTCACTACTTTTACCATGAATTTTCTTCTGAACAGGGAGGAAAAATATTTAGTTGATATGGACCATCTGGCTTTAAAATGTGGAAAATCGTCTTCTTGTGTGCTTCTATTTTAGAGTGACTATTGCGTGAGAATTCCAATGAATCCAAAATAGTATATTCACAATTTAAACTTAATGCTTTGGGGATTGTAAATCACAGCACATATGGGATGACACACGTTATGGAGGAAGTGGGTACTCGTGGCCCAAATGCAAAACTAAGTCTATGTTCTATGTTTATTGAATATATTTATTGTAACAAAATGAATATGAATGAACTCTTAGATATTTAATCTTATCATTGGGACTTTTAAAAACCAAAACATTATTTGTTACATTATTATGAATATTCACTAACTGCCCTTCCTTTTAGAGGTTCTTGAAAAAAGAAATGGTTCTCATTATTATTTTTGCAAGGTTAAATGATACTATTTTTCATTTTTATTTATTTTTGAGATACAGTCTTGCTGTGCCCTGGCTTTGAACTCACTATGTATCCTAACCTGGCCTCTAATGCACAGCAATCTTTTTGCCTCAGTCTCTTGAGTGCTAGGATTCCAGGTATGTGCTTGCATGTCCAGCGTGCATGGTTCATTTAAAAAACAACAATAACAGCAAACAAGCAAGAAGGGTATTCATTTAAAAGGAAGCTGTGCTTCCTATTTTTAGTGGTTTGTTCAAAGACATGGAACTCCTTTCTTATGGACCTCATATTCTGGCAAAACAAGATATTTGTACAATGATTTTCATGATTAGGGTAGCCAAGAAACTTCCTCAATTTAACATTTCTCAAATTATGCTCTGATAAAATTTATTCCACAAAGGATAAATAGGAGAGTTTTATCAATAGTTAATCTTTTGAAGCTTTTCTTTCTTTCTTTCTTTCTTTCTTTCTTTCTTTCTTTCTTTCTTTCTTTCTGAGATGAGGTCTTTTATGTTGTCCACATTGGTCTCGAACTTCTGGATTCAAGTCATTCTCCTACCTCAACTTCTCAAATACTAGGATGCAAATGCATACCACCGTGCCTGGCTGTCAAAGGGTTTCTGAGCTTTGAGGCACTGCATTGTGGACTGTCTTGGCTGCTTTTCTCTTGTTACTGAAACAAAATACCTGACACCCAAAATGAAGCAAGGAAAGGTTTATTTATCTTACAGTTTTGGAGATTTCAGTCCATACTCAGCTGGCTGCAAGGCAAGGTGGCATGGCTGAGGGGCAGCCATTCATGGTGGCCACAAATAGCAAGAGCAAAATGAGCAAAAGAGAAAAAAGCAGGCCTCTTTCCAACCCTCACATGGTATGTTGGCTCCACCCCTGGGCAGGTGAAGCACTCACACTATTAACCTCAGCACCAGAAAACAAACCATTCACAAACACTAGATTCAGCAGCCTCTGTGACAGCATGAGGCTTGGGGGGCCACCTAGACACAAATTATAACATGGATTTATGAAAAAAGTTATGAGGCAGTGTTTCTTCAACTGTTTTACCCCTGATGTAATTTGTAGGACTTTTATTTCTGGCAAGAAGGGCTCCTTGTTTGGTTGGCACATGTAGCCTTTTGATCAAAGACCTTCCTGGATATCATATGACTTCAAAGTACTCTGCCTATACCACTCTAGCACATTTGATCATTTCTAAAATTGAGATGCAGTTTACAATCATCACATATGTATTTTTTTCCTAATTCCAGGAACACTGTTACAAATTTGACAGTGCTGTACAATTAAGTCAATTATTAAGTCAGAGTTAATTCTAATTTATTCATTATGCTCAGTCTGATCCATAATACACTATTAAGTGAAAAGTGTTGAGTGAGAGGAAACAGTTTTTAGTGAGAATTATTCTAACCACTATACAATAAGCTATGTTTTCCACAATTTATAAGAGCTGGTTAAAAAATAATGATCACTCCCATTTTATTGTAACCCAGTGTTAAGTGGTATATTGTATCTGTTAGTGGTATATTGTATATGTTATGGCCCATTTTAAAGTTGAAGAAGTTGACACTCAGAGAATCCTAATGATTTATCCACTGGACCAGCTGATAGAGAATGAGATTATAATCCCACGATGGCTGATTTTCACAGGCTACTCTTTGTTTTGGTTAACTGAGTATGAACATTTACTTACTGCACCATTATTGCTAGCTTATACCTTTGCATTCTGACATACACCAATGGTTCCCCAGAATGGGTCACATTGGAATTACCTTGAGAGCTTTCAGAAATCCTGGATTGCTGAGCTCATTCTCACTAACTCTGGGATGAGACTGGTTAGCTGCATTTTTAAACATGACTATAAAAGCTCCAAGTGATGTTGATAAAGCTAAATTTGGAAATGACTGGTAAACACTGTATAAGAAATGCTTTTGTTTCTACTGAAGCTAAAAAGTCATTGCATACAACTTTCTTCAAGCCAGGAAGAATATATTTGAATGATTTATGGCCTCCATGTGGGATCTTAGAACCTGGAAGTGGCAGTTCAGGTGTGTTAAGAAAGCAGATATGCACAAACCAAAACCTGCCTGGCCCCTTTGCCTGAAATGTGGAATGGCGTCTTTATGGCTCTTTATCCATATGCTCTTCCCTCTATATTTAAAGCCTTCTTTAAAAAATAACCTCAATGTAAACTATCACAGATGGATATGGAGGAGATGTCAACATGCACAACCTTTTAGTCCTCAGCACTGATGGCAAGAATGAGCCCTTTTAATCTGCCTGAAAATAGCTGCAGCTTCCTTGATCTGATCTAATCAAAGGAGCAAACCCTTAGGGGATTAAAGAGTTCTCACTGCTGCCACTGCCATTAATTTAATTGCTAAGATACAGTGAATTATGGGGAAGTCAAGTGAAATGTTGAAATCTTTGGGGCAAGAGAATAAATAGGTTATTCCATAATTAGTGTTGCCTTTAAGAAGGGACATAGTTGTTCCCTGAAGTGTGACTTGGCAGAACTGACAATTATGTCTAAAGTCAGCACAGAAGTGAAGAAACAAGTTAGGTGTGGTCTTGGGAAGTGGCAGGATTGAATGTGGCAGAGGAAGTCTAAAATAAAAATGGTCTTTGACTTCAGAAAATATTCTGGGTCCACTTTAATTTCATGTATCCAGGAACTGCATATCTTTTTCTGGTTTTTTAAATTATAAGCAAAATTTTTACCCTTTTAAATGCATCTATAAATATTTAAATGCACTACTATGTATTTCGTGAAGTATAGATCTGCCTATGGGCCAACACTATTTAGGGACATCTGCTCAAATGTGAATTAATTGTGCCTGGTGGCCCTTTGAATGCCAACTCATTCCAACACTCCAGCTCATGAGCAGTGTCTTCATTCACGCGATGCATTGGATACCCTGTGAATTAATGTACTGGTGAAACTAATGGGTTCATTACATGAGTCCAGCCACTTGCTAGACTCAGTTTACCCAAAGGGTAATGACATTTAATGGGAGTTCCATTAAATAGGGATATTTATCTAACAATGCACTTAAACCTTTTAAGACGAAGTAATTAATTTTTTTCCTCTTATGAATTTTCTTTCTCTGATACCAGCTTACTCTGAGTCCATCTCTCCCTATTGACCAATTTTAATTAAAGTAATTGTCTTTAAGTTGAGTGTGTAGTTATTACTAGTACAGGGCAGTCATTCTCAGGATATCCCATTCTCAGAAACTAGCCATTTATTTTTGCTTGGTTATTTGTTTTACATTTTGTAATATTAAATAAAGGCATTTCTTGTATTAAATTCCTTCTGTGTTAGTTTAATGACTCTTTTTAGTATCATGGTTGTATCTATAACAATTATTATTGGTAATGAAGCAAGGATGTTATGAAATCACCGTATGCCTGGCATAGAACTAAACAAAACATTATCTCATTATGATCTTTATTATATCTTGTGTTGATCTATAATATATTCTATTCACTGGTTCTCAAACCTTGAACGTAGGCAAGTCTATCCTGCTTTCTGATGAAGTCTAGCCAGCTGCCTTATAAATGATCTCAGATGGCTGCAGAGCTAAGATTCAATGTTGAGAAAAGAAACAAAAAGTCTCAAAAGTTAGTAAGTGATGAGTAGCCCCTGTTGTCTAAGAACTAGACTAAAAAGTTTGTTCATACTTTGGTTAAAAAGCAAATCTTGTCTGATCCTCTAAGAAACCTCGTTTGATTCATGTTGATATTGAAACTCTACTTTCATATCATATTACAATTGTTGAATACTTTCCGTTCCTTTTTGTTCTTCCATTTATTCACATCAGTACCTCAGCTCACTTTACCCCACTGCACTTTAATTTTTGTTTTGAAATCAAGTATTATCTTTTAAAAACAGAAGGAAAGAAAGAAAAGAAAATATGTTAAGCTATATATACGCTAATATAAACATTGAGTTAAAAATTGGGTTCAAATAACAGCTGTAGATGTTTAAGCTTGTGATAATTGAGTAAGAAACTTAATCTCTTTTTTATTTTAAAGAAATTAAGACAAAACAGGCCATGGGGCTGGGGATTTAGCTCAGCGGCATAAGTGCCTGCCTTGCTAGCAGGCAGTCGTGAGTTTGATCCCCGGTACCGATAAAAAGGAAAAAGGCAAAAAAAAAAAACCAAAACAAAACAGGACATAACAGAGCACATCAGAACAGAACAATGTAAGCAAAACAGTATTTCACGAGAATAAAACCTATAATTAACAGTAACTACCACAATGTCTCTTTCTTTGAAATAGTTGAGTATAACTTCATATACAATATTATCAAATATAACAAAATAGTATAAAAATATTGGAGAGAATGAGAGTATTGCAAAGTTTTCAGAACCAAGTAACAGAAAACAAAAAATGGCTACTATATTATCTCATTTTCCATAGGAAATTTGTTTATACTTTCACACGTAATACAATCCAATAAGGTACAACATGATAGAGCCAATAGAAACAGAAGAGCAAGAGCATGGTAGGACTTCAGAGTAAGATGATATTCTATCAGTACTGGCTATTATAATGACTTATTTCCCTCAAATTAGCTGTTCTTACCATCACAGAAAATAAAATCAAAAAACCAAGACAAACACATTACAACTTCAATCATTATAAGGCTTCAAAACAATGTATGGGGAATCATGATTACCCTAAACTCTTATTTACTCTTTCTATTTCTTATACTAGGGAGACTATATGGTATTTATATATGTGAGTTTGATTTATTTCACTTATGAGTATGGTCTCAAGTTGTGCCCATTTATTAATAAATATCTCAATGTGATCATTCTTTATAGCTGAGTAATACTCCATTATATAAAAATACCACATCTTTTTTATCCATTCCTCAGCTGATGGACACTTAGGTTGTTTCCAAGAGCTGGCTACTATTACAAACTGTGCTGCTATAAGCATGGGTGCATGTGGTATGATGCTTTCAGTTCTTCTGGGAATATGTCCAGAAGTGGAATAGCTGGGTCGAATGGAAAAAAAAAAAAAAAAAGAAACATAATCTCTCCGTTCCTTATTTTCCTCTTCTTTAAAACTCTGGTGACAGTAGCAACTCTCTGGAAACACTGAGGGAGGTGATACCTTTACATAGTGACAAGTGCCTTGTAAGGTCCCTGGATGTGCTCAAGAAATAGTAGCCCTTTTTAAAAGGTTGACTTGGAACTTTTAAAGTCAGGTTAAAAAATGACTTACGATGCCATGGGATTTGTATGCTCAAGGACTTGTCTACAAGAACAACAAATATGAGCCTGCTTACTCACCAGAATGTGCCCTAAAGGAGGGTCTCATCTGCTTTCAGCTCAAGAAACATTTCAGAATTTTAATTATTTGGAGACACTTCCCAGGGTAATAGAAGCTGCTTTCTCTTCATGTCAGACTGAAGAGATAATTGTAACAAACGAGCATTTCTGTGCCAAGGTGTGCCACAGCAAATGACTTTATGGATGATGATAATAGATGCTCATCAGCATGGTGCAGGTCCTTACATGTTTAGTAGCCACAGACTGCGTCTCCGAAGATGAAGCCATTACTTAACCAAACATGGCATCTTTTCTTAACAGTCTTTCTTGAACAGTTTTCAAGTTCCTTTTTTCTAAGTTTGAAGACTCATTACTCACATTATTTCTCTCTCTCTTTTGCCACTTCTGTCTCTTCAGACTGAACTACTCCAGGAAAATGTACTGCCCTTCTTTGGTGCCCTTATTAGCATCCTTTACATAGTTCATCTGTGCACTTACCATAATGTGTTAAGTAATAATAACATCGTTATCACCATCCTTATGGTTCGCTAATGTTCACTGAGCATGTAGTATGTGCCAGACCATTATATTAAAACTTTTGCATCATCATCTCATTTACTCCTCACAACCTGTGAGCTGGAGACTTTAATTTCTCTCCTTATCTAGATGAGGGAGAGGCTAAGTTATAGAGTTTAATGTGTGTGGAATCACAGCTGGAATTTTAAATAAGTCTACATGTAACCTAAGGACATAGGTCTAATAAGAAGCTGCGTATCTGTTTTATAATTCCCTCTCTCCAGTTTCCTCCTAGGTCAGCAAGCTCCCATGGGTCCTTACATCTGTCTGGTATGGAAGGCACTGGGAAGAATGAATAAATGAGTTCAGCACCTTTGCAGAGTGGATGGTCAAAAAATGGTAGCTATTTTTTAAGAAATTAAAGTGAAGTGAAAGGATTTTAAAAAGACCATTTTAAAGAAACATTCCACTTCTGTGTCCATTGAAAGTTGAATATAGCAAAAGAAAGTTAAAGCCAGGTGAGAAGTAATCACATTTGGAAGGTCTGCAGGGCACTTGATTAAAAAAAAAAATTCTGCTCAGGCATAAAATAATTAAACTGTTCATGGCAGCATATAATTGCATCATTATGTATAAAACTGTGTTACTATAATTTGGATCATAAGAGAGCAAAGTGTCAAAATCTTTCTAATGGTATTTAATTTTGTTTTGCTCTTCCTACTAGAAGAAAGCAGTTTGTGCTTCATACTCATAAATTTTTGACACATCTTTATATTCTCTACTGTTGAAAATCATTCATATAAACCCCTGACATGACTCACTGTCTAGTTTTGATAATTTGGAGTCAGATTTTTAATATATGCTATAGGTAGTTCATTATTTAAGATACCTGGGTTTGCATCCCTTTCAATTGTGCTTTGTTTTTTAATCTACCTTATTTGCAGTTAATACTGTTAGTAATAAAACCAATAAAAATAATAACTCAATTTACTCAAGACCATTTTAATTAAAAATAAGTGCTAACTCTTCAGGGACTAGGTGAAAGTTTACACTTCTCGGAAGACAGGGGCTCTGAACAAATTAATAACGTAAACAAGATTTTGGAGAGCATATTTAATCAACTGAAGCCGAGAAGCTTTTCAAGCAAGATCTAGCACTTTAGACCTATCCATTGACATTCAGAAGATTGATGTGTTAATTATTAGTCATTGTTTTGAATTCCTTAATCTGGTCACTTTAGATACTTTTGTTTGGCCAAATTCTGCTGGTCTACTACAAGTTCCAGTGTCATTTGACTGTAAGAAGGACACGTGTTGAATCTTTACTTAATAATTTCTACTGTTACACTTACTCTCCAGTAAAGTAGTCATTTTGGGCACTGAATAAAGCTTTCCTGTGCCTTATCTTTTACACTTGTTCAGGGCTCAGATTTTAAACACTTCTGAGTCTCCTTGAGACTAAAGGAAATAATTCATATGAAGCACTAGTACAGTGTTCATGAAATAATTTGTTAATTATTAGTCCATATTAATATGGTTTAATAAATGTAGCTACTACTGCATCTTTTATCTACCTTGGAATTATATTCCCAATTAATTTATGCAGGGCTTAAAATAACATGTAGTTGGACCATTTCTCCCTTTATGTTTGGGCATTTATTTATATGAAAAATCTCACAAATATATAGATTTAAAATGTATATTTACTGATTTCCCTATGAACAAATAAACTGATGGAAAATGATAAATGTTAAATATCAGGTAGACCTGCGTTCAATGAGTTATGCCTGGTATTCAAAATCAAGGAGGCATCTGACATTTGAATAAGGTGACTCCAGTCCTATGTGGGCCTGAAGACCATGCATTTAGGTAATGCTTATGGTTAGCACTTTGCTCCTTTGAAAAAGCTTAATTTTTTCTTTTTTCTCATTGCTAGAACTGATTGAACCTAGCACTACACACTCCAGTCCTACCTGCTCTCTATGGGTTTGGAATATTTCCTGTCATTAAGGAGTCTGGGGCCTTTCTCAGGATTTTTTCTTTGGTAGTCAAATACTAATAGAAAATAGTTGTGGTTTTCAGAAACTGTGTGTGTGTGTGCGTGTGTGTGGGGGTGTGTGTGCACGTGCATGTGTGTGAGTGTGTATATGTGTAGTGCTGTAGTTTTAATTCAGGGCACCTCACACACACTTGGCAAATGTTCTACCACTGAGCTATATTCCTATCCTATTATAAGAGATCATTGAGCATAACGAAATTTATCAAAAACACACTCATCTTCTTAGTTGGCGCTAGAGTAATCAGTTGATTTTTGAATATTCTTCATGAAATTTTATTTACCTGATATTTTATATATCTATATCTATATCCATCCTCAAAAATGGCAGCAAAAAATGTGTATTTTATGATCTCATCTTCTATTCCTTGTCATAGATTCTGGAAAACTTTTGAAAATGTTGACACTATTGAAAATGTCAAGGATAAGATGTCCCGGAAGATTAAGAAGACAGTTTTATTAACCTTGTTGAAATAGGGGAAATTTCTCCCTAATATTTGAGGAATGTCTCCAAGAGAGAAGTCATTTAGAAAGGGAGGCTGAAGGTCATATATTATGCAGGGATGGATTGGTCCTTTTTGCTTTGAATGTTTCCCCAAAACACAAAAGGATAAGAATTTTTAACCTTGGCTAGATATGGTGAACACAAAACTTTAGTTCAATATTGCCAAACAGATAACTTAGTAAAACTCACTTTGGTTAGTAATAAAAGCATAGTTGCCTCTTAATTAATTTTTGATTTATTAATTGCCATTTTACCTGAGCTTACCTCAAAATACTTCAACATTGTGATCTCATTTTTAGCTGGCCTTGAGAACTCCTTGAAACAAGTTTTTATTATACAGATTAAAAATTTCTATTCTAGCTCTAAACTATTAGAAACAACTAATTCAGAAGCTTTGTCTGTTTATACATCTCATTTAAATAGCTTATATGGTTTCTTTCCAATAATATACCACATGATGAATTTTCTTCATATCACTAAATGGAAACCAGCTTCTTTATTTTCTCTAATAATCTGAATGAAGATTTACATTTTTCAAGAATATTTTCTTTAAGATAGTAAAGTTTTAAAGCTTTTTTTCCATTACATGAATTGATCTGCACTCAGGTTAGAATATTCGTATTAATCCCTCCCAGAAGGGAACACATTTTTCCTTTCACCTATCCCTTTTATTTCCTTTGGTCTTCTTTCTGGCCTGAAATATGGAGTTCCCCTATATTCTCTTAGCTTTGTGCCCTCTCCTTCTTCTATCATCTTCCTCCCGAGTCTCAGTCTGTTTGCATGGCTTTCTGTTGATTATCTTTTCTGCATATCAGTGATATGTTGTTCAGCAAGTGTTCAGGTGCAATGAAACAAGGCTCTTCTGAAAGAGGATGCCACACAGAATCTACATCTCATGGGAGGAAAGGGCACTGCCAGGGCACAAACATATGAAGGACAGATGGACTGTTTTGCCGTGTGTGAACCCAAGTGCCGACTGAAGACGAAGCCACTACTGGTGTACCATCCTGGGATCCTTTGTACAGTCAAGGAACAGAATGTAAACACGGCCAGATGTCTGTCATGTGGAGGGCCAATGGGAAAGCCTGGTCACAAAGCAGTTCTCCACAGAAGAGCTGTTCACACCCACTGTTACAAAATATCTTTCTAACAGCCACCTCCCTCAGAGATACTTGTCTTCCAATGGACAACGCCCAGGAACACCCTCTAGCCTTGAGGGATGATGTGATGTTCTTCCCCGGGTGTTTTAATGTCACTGAAGAGAAATCCTGACTCCACAAGAGTTCTGGAAGAAACATTTCAGTGTCCTTCACTGCATCAACCCCATTGACAAAGCCTGGAAGGATATCATGTACTGGACTTTAAACAGCACGAGGGAAAAGAAAATTGTGGCCAGAATGTGTCACTGAACATGACTGTGAAGGGTCTGATGCACAGATAGTAGAGGAAGTCGTGTGCATGGGCAAGAGTATGAGTCTGGACCTCAGTGGTACAGACACAGAGCAGTTTTTGAGGACCATAAAAAGGAGCTGACAGTAGAAGAACTTGCAGAACTCTTGTGAGAGCTGCAGAAGGGGCTTTCTGGTAAGCATTCCACTGAGGAGAGGAAGACAGGGAGGAGGATAGCAATGATATGATAAAATCCAATATGAAAAGTGGAATGAGTGCCAGGATTTCTTTGGGAGATACCACCCCACATAACTTAAATGAATAGAGAGTTGAACTTGATGAATGATAACATGATCTCTCATTTCTGGAGAGTTATGCAGTGTGGAAAAAAACAAATGACATTAGATAGATTTTTTTTGTCAATATATTAATCATTGTTAATTTCTTATCATCCTGTTTGAAACTCTGTATCTTTTTTTTTTTTTTTTTTTTTTTTTTTTTTTTTTTTTTTTTTTACTTTTCTCTCTAAAAAAGATAATTGACTCTGCAGCTAAGAGACAGACAGGAAACCTCTGAGGATCTCCTTGATATCTTAATGGAGGGAGTCTGTCCCTCCAAATAATAACCTCCCCACCCACCCTCTCTTCTCCACACCAGAAAGAGCCTGAAGCAAGATTGTGTTCTCTCTCTTTGTACTATACTTTACTTTGCTTTGTATTTTTGTGGTTAAAAAAATCATATGGTGCAGAATGGATTAACTTTATTTACATTGAACTGTATGGGAAAATTTGATTTGGTTCACGATCAAAATCAGTTTGTGACCAGATTCATAGGGGTCAGAACAGATTACTGTAACCTTATTTACAGTGAACCTGATAGAGAAATTTGATTCAGTTTGTGGTCAATTAGGTTCTCAACCAGAATTATGGAACAGATTAAGTTTGTGAATAAAGGAACCACTGTATAAACAATAACAGCTAGCAGGTTAACAAGCAGAGTCCCACTTGATGACAAGTATTTTTGTGGGTGCTTTTGGTTTAAGGTATTTGGCACACAGCTTTTCTATGTGAATGAATTTCTATTAGTTAACAAGTTTTTATCTGGTGCCACTGCATCTCAGAATTCCACCCTTATGTCATGCTGTTATCATGACATGCCAGGACCCACTTCTATGGCTGGCCTCTATACTTCTTTTCCCCATCCTTTTGTCTGCACTGTTGTATCTTTTTCCTATCACTGTAGAAATCCACCATGTCTTCCTAAGATCATTTCCTCTGAGGTGGCTTGGTGGAGTTCTGTCTGCCCCTTCTGTTTTTTCACATGTCTTCTCCTCTGCATGTGGATAATATACAGCACTGGATCCTTAAACATATAGATGTGTGTGTGTGTGTGTGTGTGTGTGTTTATATGCATGCACGGGATCTTGTGTTTGCATCATCTTTGAAATATTTTCACCCGTGCCACCCTTATAAGAGCATCATGAGGCAGCTGGCCTTGTGTATTACACTGAACAGGAGATTGAAGCTCAGCATGACTTGCTCACACTTGCATTGCTCCTAAGCAGAAAAGCAATAGTCAGAATGCTGTTCTCTTTCCCGTATGCTTAGCAGATGTTCACCAGAATGTAGATTTGCAGTGTGAAGTTTCTGGCCAATCAAAGCAAGTTTGTAGCTCTTTAAAAACACTTGGTCCACATACTAATACGTAGTTAGTAGACGTGGGGTGAGGGGAGGAGCTGCTTCAAGGGGCCAATCTGAAATTCTTCTCTTTTTTTACTAAGTGACTACTCTTTGGGCAGGTCTAGTAGCTTGTGTACAGGAATAGACCAAATGCTTCACTTTCCAAATCTACTAAATTAGTTTCAGGAAAAGAAATGGTTGGAATGAAGGATTCTCAGCCCATAGCAATTTATATTGCATGTGTGTAACATCCCCATAAAATATCCTTCTTGGCAAGTCTTAGTAAACATGTCTCAACCAGAGATTTCATAAGCCACGTGCTTAGTGAGATGTAGTAGGCAAGAATCGAGGCTCCTAGGATGTCATTAATTTTATATTTAGCTTGGAATTTCACCACAACTAGGAAAGACATATTTCTAATCCATACTCACATTATTAAAGTATGGGGAATATGCAGCTAGACAATAATCAATGAACAATGATCAATGAACTCCAAGATGGCAGTAAAACAGTATGGTTAAGGGCTTTATATGGCATCCAGAGATCTTATTTCAGTGGACTCTCTACCACTCAGTATTTTGAGTAAAATTCTAAGCTACTCTATTGTTTTCATTTTTGTTGTCCATAAAAAATGAGAATTATGACAGTATTTATCTCAGAAAGTACTGGTGAAGATGAGAAAACCTCATGTAATATCCTTGGCACAGTGCCTGCCCCCTACAGCAAAGTCTTTGTGTGTGTGTGTGGTACTGGAATTGAATTTAGGGGCTCCACACTGAGGTGTATCCTGACCCGCCACCTCCTTTAAACCTTTGCTTTTGAGATAGGGTTTCGTTAAAGTAGTTAATTTTCCAAACTGGACTCAATGTTTTAATCCCCCTGTTTCATCTTCCTAGATTTCTGGGATTACAGAGCATGGGCCATCATACCCAGCTGAAAAAGTCAGTTTTGTTTGTTTTAGTGCCTATGTCATTTTTCCTTATTTAAAAACAAATCGCTTTTTTATACAGAGTAATGGGTCTCATTTAGGTAGACTTATACATGCATGTAACATAATTTGATGATTTTCACCCTCCTATCTCTTACGTTTTTGTAATTCACTTTTAAACTCAATGTATTTGAAAAATCGAGCAGTTGGCTAGTATATATGCCGTATTTGTACGTTTTCCCATATCACGTTGTTTGCTTTTCACATTTGTAAGTTGGTTTTATGTTAAGCCCTGTAGCCTAACAAATTGCTGTTATTTGTAACTGACAGATATGTATTAATGTTGTACTTTGAAGGTTGCAAATATTATGTGAAAATTCCTCTAGTTTTTTTGTTTTGAAATTTATAATAACAAAATTTCCATGTTGTATAAACAAAAATCCCATCATTTGAATCCCTGGAAATTTCCTCTTAATAATCATACCCATGGAATATGGGTATGTTATGTTAAGGCAGATTCTAGAGTCTTTTCTGCAGGGACTTGCTACCATACCATAGTCAGTTGCAGTAAGGAGGAATTTGCAACAGAAGGCAACAGAAATAATACCTTCTCTGTGGTATTGCTGACTTGCTATGTTTGCAAGCTATTTTCATGGTGGAACCTCCTTACTGCTTCACCTAAATGTCCTGGATGGCATATCCTAACACCTTAGAAGAATGCCTGAAGAGCCTCAGTATTTTCAATAAACAAACTCTATTGCTGCTCTCTATTCTGTAATAAATTTTCAAGAATATTAGAAGTCCCAGTTGTAGGTAGGACAAGACACTGGACATGATAAAGCTGTCTCACCATCCTGCACCTCAGACTTTATCTAGGACATTGTACACAAAAGCTGAAGTCAAGTGGTTTCTCTATTTAAATGCCCATTCCTTTGCTTCAGGTGTGGCCTGTTGTTGGCATCTGTGGATTCACATTCCATCAGCAGAATCTCATCATGCTCCCCAATAAGCATAAGGGTGGATGTCTTGTCATTTTTTTATTAGTGTGGTAGATGAAACCATTTCCCTGTCTTGTGTCCATTTATCATTCAATATTTAACTAGAGCAACTGAAGTACTCCAAAGTATAACACTGATTTATGGTTATTTGCAATTCTTTTAGAGTTTCTGACAAATTATAAAAATTTCCTGATGTATCTGGATCAATGGACAGCAGTGAATCAAAAGAACTAGTTGATGTCTTGTTTGAATTTTTATATGTAAAATCACACTTGTAGTCAAGTCTTACCAAGATAATTCCTACATGGTTTACATAGATTAAAGTATTTAGCCTTGAATTTGAACCCCAATTTCTGAGTAAAAAATTATTTGTTGGGGGAGGTGATTACATTACTGTACTAAGTTAACCTGGGGACTTCTGCTTGTACTAAATTGGAGCAGTTTGTGACAAATTAATGCTCCTTTGAAAACAGTATAAAACCCAAATATAAACAAAACGTTCAACATAGCTAGTTTGCAGAACAAACAGAAACAAAAAAAAAAGAAGAAGAAGAAGAAGAAGAAGAAGAAGAAGAAGAAGAAGAAAGAGAGGAAGAGGAAGAAAAGAAAGAGGAAGAAGAAGAACAACAACAACTACTTCTGTGATAATCAAGACTCCTGGAGAGAAGGGAGCTACAGATAGACTGCTTAACCAGTAGTCTACAGCCTGCTTTTCCAGGCATGTGCCAGTTTTGGGCTTTGCGAACAGCTAAGAAACCAAGCAGAGACTCGTACCTATAAACAATTAAAATGGCAATTTCACAAGGCTTATGAGACAAACATTGAAATTTGGGGCTACAAAAGCAGCCAGGACTCAGAGATCAGCATCTCAGAGAGAAGACAGGTACTGTGATGTTAGCCTGATCTCCAGCACTTACGTACCTTAAGGCAGGAGTCCTCAGTGCCCAAGCCATAGATCAGTACTGGTTTGTGGACTCGTGGGAACCTAGGAACCAAGCTGCCCAGCAGAAGCTGAGGGGCAGGCAAGAGAAGCTTCATCTGCTTTCTCAGCGTCTCTACATAGCCCACATTGCTGGCTGACCTCGGCTTCCAGGCCTATAAGCAGTGACCTGTAGAGTCTCCTAGGAGGGTGAACTCTATTCCTAGTGAGCTGTGCATGTGGAAGATACAGATTTGTGCTCTTGTGGAAAACTTGTCTTCCATGAATCTGGGCCACTGCTTTAGGCTTTCATCTTCATTCAGTTTTATGTCTCAGAAAGGCTTAGGAATCACTAAAAAGCAAAATAGATCTGACAGTCTCAAAATGCTGAAAATATAATTGAAATTTGACATATAGGAAGGATGGGGCCTCACTCAATACCACCAGCCTTCAAACTGCTCCCAAGTAGTGTAGACATATCACATGCAAGCTGAGTTTTTCAAAATGCCAGTCAATTTTGAGGCAACTCTACCCTGAATTGGAGAAAGGGAACCTTCCCCTCTCTGACTACTTAAGACTAGTACCTAAGGTGCCACTAATCTAGTCTCTATACTTTTTCTTACATTACATCTCTAATTCAATTTAAAAACTACTAGACACATCCAAAAATGAGACTGACAGAAAAAAAAAAAAAAAAAAGAAAGAAACAGTGCCAAGGATGATCGAGTTGGTATGATTGTTAACTAGCAGTTGCTCCCTTTAGATGAGGCTACAACTCTCAAGTTCTCCATAACTGCCTCTCTTGCTTTACTCCTGGGTTGACTTGTTTAATTATATTGACTTACATGCTGTGCATTTCAATTTATAACTCATGACTTTCAGCAGACCAGGAATGTATCTGTTTTTCTTAGATATTTGGTCTTCCACAAGACAC